GTTTGGTTTTGTGCTGTATTGCGCTGACTTCCATACCTTGGTGAGGGATGCAAAGGTGGTCCTGGCTAGGCCTAGCCTTCTCCCAATGTCTGCCTCGGTTCCCCCGGTCTTGTCCATTGTGGCACCTAAGTAGAGAAATGTTCAAACCTCTTCTATTTCCTTATCATTCAACCTGATGGCATCCTTCTTCTTCACATTTATTATCATGCTTTTTGTTTTATCAACGTTAATTTTTAGCCCTGTATATCCTGCAACAGCATGTAATCTCCTGATCTTCTCCTGCATGTCGCTGTCTTTGCTGGAAATAAGTGCAAGGTCGTCTGCATAATCCAGATCTTCTAAAGTGGACATAAATTTCCAGCGTATACCTCTCTTCTTATTGTTGGTATTTCTCATGATCCAGTCTACCACAATGATGAACAGGAACCCAGACATAACACAACCTAGTCTTACTCCTGTCTGTACTTTAAACCAATCTGTTGTTCTTCCATTCTCTATGACACAACTAGAACTACCATCGTATAACTTCCTGATGATATCCACGTACACGCCCGGAATTCCATACTACCTAAGTATATCCCACAGTTTCTCTCTTATTATGCTGTCAAAGGCTTTTTTAAAGTCTATGAAACTGATGTACAATGGTGCTTGCCACTCTATAGTTTGTTCTAGAATATTTCTTAGAATGTAAATCTGTTCTGATGTTACTCTTCCTCTTCTATATGCAGCTTGCTCTGGTCTTAGTCTGTCCTCTAATCCATCTCTAATTATGTCAATCACTACTCTGCAAAATACTTTAGATGGCACTGACAGTAGTGATATTCCTCTATAGTTGTCACATATTGTTAGATCTCCTTTCTTGGGTATTTTGACAATGAGTGATCTCTTCCAGTCTGATGGTATTTCTTGCTCACTGATGACTCTGTTGAATAAATGTGTTAGCTCTGATGTTGAAAGTGCTATGCTTTCCATTAGTAGCTCCGCATTAGTGTTATCTATGCCAGGACTCTTTCCCCTCCTCATCTTTTGGATTGCCTTTTTCACCTCTTCCTCTCTAATTGGTGTTGTGTCTATTTCCTCTATTTCATTCTCTTGGATGGCGCATCCTTCCGGTAGATCTGTTGTTTCTGTTGGGACATTAAGGACCACTTCAAAATGCTCTTTCCACCTCTCTAATATTTTTCCATCCTCAATGATAAGTTCACCATCCTTGGACCTTATGCCGCTTGTCCTGTTTCTTTTTCTTCCACAAAGCTGCTTGGTCAGTTGGTAAACTTCACTCAGACGGTTTGTGTTTGCTGCATTCTCTGCTTGATTGGCTACATCTTCCAGATTTTTCCTTTTATCAGCTCTTGCTCTTCTTTTCACTTCTTTGTCTTTGGTCTTATATTCTTCTCTCTTAATTTCCTTTATTCTCTCTGAATTTGATCGTCCTATTTCTTCCTTTAGTTTTCTCCTTTCATCTATGGCTCTGTAAGTTTCAGCAGTTAGCCAGTCTTTGTGCTTCCTTTTCTTCTGGCCCAGGATCTTTTCTGCTGTTTCATTGTATGCTTCTTTTACAAGAGTCCATTTTTCATTAATTGTGCTTTCGTCATCGACCAGCTGTTGAAACCTATTCCTTCGTTCAAGTTGGAATCCTTTGCTTACTTTTGGATCCTTCAGCTTGTTTACATCATACATCTTCCTGTTGCTTTCTTTTTGTTTTAATTTTCTGCAGAGCTTCATCTTACTTTAGCCAGTACTAAATGGTGATCTGAATTGGCATCCGTACCACGCATAACTTTTACATCACATACAGAGTTCCTGTATCTGCAATTCACTATTAAATGGTCAGTTTGGTTCCTATCTCTTCCATTAGGTGACTCCCATGTAAGCTTGTGTATGTCAAGGTGCTTAAAGAGGGTTCCGCAGATGATTAAGTTATTAAGAGCGCACATTTCTGCTAACCTCATGCCGTTTTCATTCATAATCCCAATGCCCTCTTGTCCCATGACTCTTTCCCATCCTTCATTTGACTTTCCCACTTTTGCATTTGCATCTCCCATTACCATCAGTATGTCATGTTTTGGCACTTTTGCAATCTCTCTTTGAAGCTGTTCGTAGAAGGTGTCCTTATCCGCTTCGTCTGCTTCGTTTGTTGGGCTGTATAATTGTATTATTGTTAGCTTAGCAAAGCGGGAGAAAAAGCGTGCGCTGATGATTCTGTCATTAACAGGATTCCATTCCATCAAGCTTTGTCGACTTTTCCTGCTAAGTATAAGTCCTACTCCTCTATGATGCTCTTCAGCTCCCTAGTACAATATGGTCTCTCCAGACATTGTTTTAAGCTCACCAAAGCCTGTCCATCTTACCTCGCTCAGTCCCATTATGTCCAACTGATATCTGCTAAATTCTCTTATGATGTTCGCTGTTTTTCCAGTCTGGAACATTGTTCTTACATTCCAACATCCGATCTAAATGATGTTTTTAGGTGTTGTTATGGATGGCATCTGCGTTCCTTTCAGGCCGTTAGGGTCCTCTCGGCTTTTCCTAATTGCCGTCATTCTCTCGAATTCCCAATGAAGGTAATCCTCATCCGGAATCTCGCATGTCGCGCTTGTCCTTTCTTAAGTGGTACTAATTGTTGTAACGGTTTCCGAAATCAATTTTTATTTTGTAGGAGGTGATTAGCCTCAAGTCTGACCTCCAAATTTAAATCTGGGGGCCAACATAGTAGTTGTTAACGGTCTCCTACTAATCCGGATTGTAATCAGAGTTTTCTCTCCTAGATGAGTTGCCGACCAAGGCTCTCGAGCCTCATCTTCCCGTGCGTCCTTGCGAAGTTAGCCTGGGGCCGAAAGGTGCCCAGTATCCGTCTGCTTCCACGTGGAGGCATCGCATAGGACTTGTTGTGGAGAGGCTATGTACTGGCGGGGGAAGACTTACAAATTGCTTCCCTTTTCGCATTGCTGCTAGCCAGCGGTGAGGGCTGAAAGCGAGAGGTGACAAGCACACAGACACCAACACCAACACACTAGACGCGTCACACAACATTTAGCAGACAGATTAACGTACTAGCCACTACGATACACAGTTTATGAAGAACTGGTCGGATCATTTAAAAGGTAGGATTCTTCTCATATTTGTTGTATTTAAATATTAATGAAATTTTCACAGAATCAAGAAGACAATATCAGTAAGTGATAGCATCAGTGGGATTAAATTTGACGGTATTATATAAGAGGCAAGGTCAGGTCAAGGTCATTATCTTTTTCCTTGACATTATGAATAAAAAATACTGTTGCCAATCATGTGTTGCTTACTTCTATTTCAAGGGTTTAAAGGTTGTTCTTTTTGCATTGAAAGATATTACTATATCGGGTCTATAGCATGATATTACCAAATTTACATAAATAATCTAACTAAACTGGATATTGGCTAATCCGAATTTTCTCTGTTTTTCTTGATTTTTTTTTAAGGATATATTAGTTATTTTCATATGCTTCCTATATTTAACTTTTTCATATTTTCACATTTAATAAAGTAGTCTTATAAATGTACAAAATGATACAAAAACAAAAAGTCTTGATCGTTTACTAAGAGAGAAAAAATACTTTCTATTGATTTTTAGTTAAAATTTGTATTTTGATTGGAAGTGTTTAAAAGCTAATATAGTACTAGTTTGTTTGAAAAATCATATTTATTTGATATATTGTGAAAGTTTAGTCCCTTATTATTAATCTAACTTACATTTGAAAATTTCTGCTAGTCTTTAATTATCTAAAAATTACATGTATAACTAAATTCATTGTTCTATTATAATTCTGAGAGGCAGAAAAGAAGGTATTTTCATACGCCACCATTCCGCCAAAAATATGGTCCCTGCTATTTTTCAAACGCAATTTACCATTTCTATTGTAGTACAATTGTGATGAGGAAAGAAAAAAATGGTCTTTTAAATCCCTTAGACCTAAATATATAAGACAAATAAGCAAATATACTTTAAATGTTTCATCTAGTCAGAAACCAGAGAAGAATCCTACCTTAAGTCATGTTTGTGATATGACCCTAGACTTAAGAGACTTTAAGTATTTCTCGGAAAGATGCAAATGTTTTGTCATAAATGTGATCTTTTAAGGTATAGTAGGTCCTTGCTCCATATTTTTGTAAAACAGAGACTGTATATTTTATCAAAACTTTTAGGATTATCTTTTTTAAAAAATGGAGCAAAGACCCACTTATATTGAAAAATTTTGCATATGAGAAAACAATCTTTTTTGTCATTTTTAGTGTGAGCATGTTTTTTAGTCGGCTAATAATTTCAGTCTTTGTGATATTTTTACAGTAGCCCGTAGAGGCCAGTACAGAGCAAGAAATATTTTTATTGCGATTAATCGCAATAATTATTGCGTTTAAATGCAAAACATTGCATTTAATCGCAATGACTACTAGTATTGTGTTTAAACGCAAAACATTGCGATTAATCGCAAGAAATATTGCGTTTAAACGCAAAGTACTTTGCATTTAATCGCAATCTTTTGCGTTTAAACGCATACTTTTGCGATTAAACGCGTTTAAACGCAGTAATATTTTTTGCGTTTAATCGCAATAAATTTTGCGTTTTAATTAAATTTGATTTAATCGCAAAAGCATTGCATTCAAACGCAAAAATTATTGCGTTTAATCACAAAAATTATTGCGTTTAATCGCAAAAATATTGCGATTAAACGCAAAAATATTATTGCGTTTAAACGCAAAAAGTATTGCGTTTAAAAGCAAAGTACTTTGCGTTTAAAAGCAAAGTACTTTGCGTTTAAACGCAACGATTATTGCGATTAATCGGAATGTTTTGCGTTAAAACGCAATAATCATTGCGATTAAACGCAATATTTTGCGCTTAAACGCAATAATTATTGTGATTAAACGCAATAAAAAATATTTTTCTCTCTGAACTGGCCTCATCGGGCTTCCGTAGGCCTCAACGGGCTTCTGTAGGTTTTTGTAAATCGTAGAGATTTCAAATGAAGTATGTTTTAATGTTAGAAGAAATATAAGATAAAATTTGGATATAATTGAGATTCAATTTTTTCACTTCATGTCTTTCGCACTACATGCACTTCGTCCGCCTTATCCCCTGTCTTCTTTATTGAATGAATTTTTCCCCAACGGAAAATCCATTAGAATTTACAATATAATTTTTTTTTTATTTGAAAAAAAAGCTGCAAACGAGAATGGGCTTCGGAAGTTACAGCATTTTCGTCACAGTACACCTCAACAAGGTAAACTAGTTAAACTATCAATATTTTTAATACAGTTGTAATCTATATACATTAATCTAACAACTAATCGTTTTATGACGAATGATATGTATAGACTATGGCAAATTTTCTAGCTACTCAGCAAAGAAGATATTGGGAAAACCGAATGTTTATCCTACATATAGTGTTAATGCACTGGCATGGTTGCCGAGGAGTTTTGATGCAAATCAATATATAGAGGTAAAACTCTGAAGAGATTGTCTACCCTCACTTAATAATGATTCTATTAACAATAAGCACAGGCATCAATTTAGAAACATTTTCCAGACGTTATCAAAAATAGTCTTATTCCTTACTTACATGGATTGACCTTTACATATTCAAGATGATATTTTTATAGATAGATGTTATATCATGAATTATACACTATCTTTTTAATATTCAGTTGAAATTTCCGGAAAAGATTTGGTTAACTCATGTTAACACATACAAATCTTATAATGCTGGAGCTGTCACGAGAATATTGGCGAAAAACGAAGAAAAACGATGGATTGAAATCTTTAGGGCTCCATATGCACATTTAGTCAAGAAGTCCATAGGCGGATCCAGGAATTTGTAAAAGGGGGGGTCCAACATTTTGACCTATTAGGTACTGTTTGCAACATCTACCGCTCCCAATTTTCACCCCACTTTGTTTGTGTACATGCAAATGATCTAAAGAAAATGTCTACTTGTTGTTTTTTTAACATTTAATTTCTATGGTATAATGCTGCGCTGAATTTCAGGTGCTGCCATCCCTTTGTCGCGGCGCGTCTCAAGTTTTTGTACAAAACTGAGAAGAATTGCTGCCTGGATCCATCCTGCGAACAAAATTTTTAAACTTAATATATTCAGCGGTAAACGGAGATATACTACATTTACATTTTCAAATATCATCAAATAAATTGTAGACGGGAAAGTAGAATAGGCAATCATGGTAAGTAAGAGTCTATATGATAAAATTAATAACTTTTTCCCCCAAAACTAGCAAAATAAAGTCCCCTAACGGTAATATAATTCAGTCAAAAGTATGTCAAACGTAATGAATATACTTGTTCTGTGAGTATTCAAGGCACAGTGCAAAGAAAAATCCGGAAAATCGCAATCGGAAGGAAAGACAGGTGGATAGATGGACCGAGAGTAAATTAGCACCCCTCCCTCTTCTCAGCAAAGCGAGAAAGGGAGACTAATAATACAAAACAATTGTTTGATATTAACCCAATATCACACTGTTCTGATCAGACCTAGAGTCCCAAATATCTATAGCGAATTGCTCTATCAACTTTAGACATTTACTATTCTGGTCAATTATACTGGAGTGACAGATCTAACAGAAATATCGTAAAACTCTATATTTATCATAAGAAATGAACGGTATGAACTTTGATGCACCAGATGCGCATTTCGACAAATAATGTCTCTTCAGTGATGCTCAGACCAAAACTATTGAAAATCTTAAAAAAGATAAAGAGCTACGAGCATGGATCGAAAGTGCCGAACATGAGCCAAAATCCGAACAAGGACCAGAGCTATGCCTGAGGGAGATACGTCCTTTTATATTTCTAAAATTTATCACATTAAAATTTATATATCCGTTTCATGCTAGCACTGGAGTACTAGACGAAACTGGGCTTATGAATACCCTCGGGGACTAAAAGTCCACCAGCAGAGGCATATTACTAACATTAATTTTCAGTTATAATTCTCTCTTTGCTACAATTTGCTATACAATTTTGATAATACTTTTTTTATTTCGTAGGCACACATAACCAAAAAAATGGGGGAAGGGGTATCCGCACATGAAGGTCTATCTAGAATTTATTTTACTTTAAAAATATTAGGGCTGTGCAATATTACCGGTGTATCGGTATATTGCGGTATTATCCACCACGATAATATATCGCGATATGAAAATCAGATACCGGTATTTCACGATATTTATAAAAACATATAAAAACCTCCTTTATTGTAGAAACTGCTGAAATAATATTTGTAACTACCCCAGGCCTTTTAAATCTAGTAAAAAAAAAAATGCTTCGTCAGTTTGAGAGGCAGATAGAGAGAGAGAGAGAGAGAGAGAGAGAGAGAGAGAGAGGAAGCTTTTCATTCACTGTCGCAATTTTAAAAATCTTACTTTAAAATAAAATAAATAATTAGTAAAAGACTTTTAAATAAAATCATTAAGAAAGAAAATATATAAAACGTTTCTACAGGTTGTATACCATGTGTACTGTGGTTCTCAAAATCTCATGGAATCTACACGATATCCGATGAATGTTAAGTTCAAGATACATATTACAAATAAATGGCCATCCATGTTTTCACTTGATACAGTGTTGCCTTTTATTATTTTTTAACAAGTTTCATGTCATTTTAAAAACCTTCATGCTATACCAGGAGCATGTATATTAAAACAAAAGAAATAGGCCAATGCCTTTCCTGATCGTATGTCATAATGTGAAATTAGGTCAGGTCAGACTAAAACACCAAACGCCCGAAAATAGGCCACAGTTTCTTTCTGGCTTTAATTTTATTCTGTGACCACATAAAATTTCTATATAGTATGCATTGTTTCTATCATTAAGTTACTTTTTATGCTATTTCAATAAAACACCCCCCCCCCCCAAAAAAAAAGTATAAAGAATATACTATGAATAAACTTTTTTTTCAATTTGAAAAATACATCAAATGAATACATTTTGTTTTAATTTTTTACCTGGTTTTTAATTAAAAGTTATTATAATTATGTGTGCGATTAATGTCTTATCCCCCGCCCCCTTTAAAATTTATAGATAATTCAAATAGTCTTTGAACTTGACAGCATTTTAAACTTTCTGCACATATTTATTAATGATAATTAATCTACAATATATTGCAATAAATATATATTGCAATATTCAACGTAAAATATTGCAATATATCGCAATATGGTTTTCACTCGCAATACCCAACTCTAAAAAATATACGTGTACATTACATGGGGGAGGGTAGGGAACCACCCCAACCTGTTTTTTTTTCCTACAAATTGTAAAAAAAAAAAGAAAAAAGAAAAAAAAGTAAAATTGGACTCCCCCTTTTAAAAGGAATATTAATAGCTGACTCTCTCTGAAGATAAAACTCAATGGTAGACCCCTCCCTTACACCGTGCCGTTCACAAAATTGAGAGTTTAAGCATAGTTTGGGGTATTTGTATCAAAATTAATGAAATTGATAATCACGTACATAACAACCCCCACGTGTAGGTTTGAAACGTGACGTTTATGTGATAAATATAGTATAATAGGCCCCTATGTGTTTTATAAAAAAATATGCAAAAAACTGAAATAGCTGCAGTGCTTGTTCTACTGCCTAACCCTTTCATGAACTGAATATTTGATAAACAAAGTTTGTTCAGATCACAGGGCTCCTTATAAATTTTGTACTCAATCTGTATGTTATATATCTATTCATGGCTTGAGAATTAAAAAGAAAAGCCCCCCCCCCCCCCCGTTCTGTGTTTGAACTCAGAGCATAAAGTTTGTACTATATAGCTGCGCTCGCTACAACGGTCACACCGTCAATATATTACTGTATATGTTAGCCAATGTTCATGATACATGGTAACAACCAGCCTTCCACATGTATTTGTGTTACACGTGAAACGACCTTTTTCAAAATCGTCGTGAATGACTCAGCCTAAGAATCAAACATTTGGCTAGTAGCCTAGTTCAATATAAACAACTCTTAATAAAAAAAAGTAAAAGCTTACCATAATATTTATGAATTATGGACAGTTTAATCTTCATGCCTTACTGGAAGCAGCTTCAGAGTTATTCTAAACAAAACTGTATACGTACAGCGCTGATGTTTCCGGTAAAATTTCGTCAACTTTCTATTTCTTTTCTGTTTTTTCTTTTTTCCTTTTTTTCTTGATTTATATTTCTAAATTTTTTTTTGTGGGGGGGGGGGGGGGGGGGGGTGTAAACATTTTTTTGGTCCGCGAAAAAGGGGGGGGCGGGGTCCGGACCCCCTGGACCCCCCCTCTGGATCCGCCCTTGAAGTCAAGGATATTTTCCCCCCAGATTAAAGTGAGTATTTCTAGAGAATTTAGTAAAGAATATTATTTATTGAACAATGTTTCTCACTGGTAAATATTCGCATTGGTTTTTAGAATCTTTAAGAAATCATATTTTTTAAAGATGTAGGATCTTTCAACAACATCATTTTCTAAGTCATTGAGTAGAGATAAAGTTTCGGAAACGCATTTCTAAATAAAAATCGTTTCTGGTTATAAATGATTCGTAGATAATGGCATTGTTAATATTTAAATATTTCATATATAGATATTAATATAATTAATTCATATAGATATTAAAATTAAATTAAAATAAACATATCATTCTATGCAGAGAGTGGACTTCCCTGTAAATGAGCTGAGAATAGAAGTTGATTGTACTGTCTCCGGCACTTATGTAGCTATTGATGCAGTTGAAATAGTTGGAGGTATTTATTCTCATCTTTTTGTTTAAGAATTTATTAGGAACAAATCAATTCCAGATTAATATTTCAATCAAACGAAATTAAGCGCAGAGCATATTGCAATTATGTTTATTTCTCTCAATCTCAAATACATCGCTATTGACAGAGATTCTTTTTAATCATCGAAAATTGATAAATTATATTGTTTAATGAAAATCTTTGCAGTTTTATAAAATATTGAAAGGTAAAGGATATCGGCACTTTTGGGTTACGTGGAAAAGATTATACAGAAGGAATTGCTTGTTGATTGGAGAGGAGCATTGGAAATGAGAATAAAATTTCCTATATTTCATTGTATTCTGTGTCTTTGAAGAAGGAACCTCTTCGCAGATGTTTTAGTAGTTTCGATACGTTTCTATCTAATTTCATTTCCGTAGCTTATTCGGTCTTTTTTCTAAACAAAGGTGGTTGTCCTAGACGGTTTAAAAAACTCTGGGATTCTTGTTATCTCATCAGGAAAGCAAGAGTGTCGGCAGACATGGCGTTCGTAAGTAGATAAATGTATTGAAACGATTGCATATAAACTGCAATTTCTTTTGATCATATGTAACTGCTTCTCTATACATTTCATCATTAAGGTAAACTGTTTAGAAGCTGGTGGGTATTTGGCCAACTTTGAAACTCTTGAAGAGGCTATGCGAATGAAAAAAATTCTAAAGAAAATGGGCAGAGGTAATAATGGAAACTTTTGGGAGTCCTTTTTAAAATTCTTAGAGGTTTCATATATACATTTTTGTATCAGTTTAAGACCACTTTTATAAAAATCCACACAGTAATTCATTGATTTAGTACTTCTAATACTGGTAGAAATTACCTGATGAATGACCTATTCTAAATTCTTAAGGTTTCTTCAATAATAACATTTACTCATATTTTTTGTATCTGTTTAGATCAACTTATTGAATTTATTCTATTTTTTAAAACTAAATCTATCAGGGTTTAACTTCTACGTTGGGGGAAGAAATATTAACAGAAGAAAGCCTGGGGGAGATTGGAGATGGATCAAGCACGGACAAATGACTGAGATGAAATATTATGCCTTTGCTGCCAACGAGCCTAATGGGTCTGACAAGTCGCCTCAAGACTGCATGTTCTTTTATGCCAGAAGCCGCTACTCGTTCCACAATATCTTCTGTGATAATGGTTCACATCTTAGTGGCTACATCTGCGAAGCCTGAAAATTGTCAATTGATTTATCATGCAATAAATTGAAAGCATCTTTAATTTTTCTGTTTTCTTGAAGTATTTATAAAAATTATGGATGTAACCTGTCTATACAACTAACAAAATTTAACTTGTGATGAAAATTTATTTAAATGAAAGTCAAGCAATTATTTGTGAAAGTTTGTATTTTGAAAATTAAATCAAGCTTGGTCAAAAATAACAAAGACGAGTTCGAGTCACACAATTACACACATACACGTTTTTGTCTTGGACTCGGAATAGTCCTGAGTTATACTTTGTATTTTCTTGATGACAGAATGTCCAGCACATCTAATATTCAACTCAACTAACTATCACATGGCATTCACTCGAACTTCAATTAACACATTTACGCAATTCGCGCAATTATCACTCATACGGAGATTGTTATAGATAAGTTGTTATTAATAAATTTCTAATTTTTGATGCAACGCAACTACAGATTGACCTCCCCGTTACTTGAATTTCTATTATTAGTGACAATATACCTATCTTCAAATGAATTGAAGATAGGTACGATTGAATTAAAAATAGGTACAATTGAATTAAAGATAGGTACGATTGACTTTATACCAATCCCTATATAATTATACCTCTCTCTAATTATATACCTACTAGGTACAAATGAATTATACCTATCTTTAATGGAATTACAGCTATCTTCAATTCAATTAAATATAGGTTCAATTGAATTATACTTTCATAATAATATTGTATCTCTAATTCATTTGAAGAAAGATATAAATGATTTGAAAATAGGTACAATTGATTTAAAGATAGGTTCAATTAACACACATCTACAACGGATTTAAAGATAGGTACAATTCAATTATACCTATGTTCAATTCGTATTGTGTTGTTGAAAATAATGAACGCTCCCTCGGAGACAATATTGAGGGAAACGCACAGAACCTACAGAGCGACGTCAACGAGGATGAAGGGAGAAATAAATGTAAATTAAAAATGTGCAAAGAACATAATGATTATATACTTATTAAAGCAATATGAGCTGCATTTTTGAGAATTTTATTTTGCTGATAAAATGTGTTATTATGATTAATCTGTAAGTAATGTAAACCCTTATGATTAATAAAACCAAAATAAAGTTTAAAAATGTTTCAGAAGAAATATTTCTGTACAGCTGAATATACAGTATTATATAAGAAATTATTATTGTACAGGACGACAATAATTCAATTTTGGTTCAATCAAAAGGTATAAAAAAGTTCTTTCATAGCAAAAATGAACAACGGAAGTTTATAAATGTTCTATTTTTCTATCATTGAAATTGTTAATTGCAAATTTGCAACATTTTTTTCCGATGTCAAACATGCAGCTCATATTACTTTAAAATAAACACTTATATCATGTATGTATATCTTGTATGGCAGACGGACGAAAATTCCGATAAACTTTCGCGCCAGCTGTGGCGTACCGGAAAATGACGTATAATGAGTTGTCAATATCTTAGTAATTAAAGAAAGATTCAATTTAAATATACCTATCTTTAAATCAATTATACCTATCTTCAATTCATTGCTTTTGTATCTATCTTCAAATCAATTGTACCTATTTTGAAATGAATTAAAGATAGGTATGATTGAATTGTACCTATCTCTAATTCATTTGAAGATAGGTACAATTCAATTGAAGATAGGTACAATTTAAATGACGATACATGTTGGTACAATTCATTTGAAGATAGGTACAATTATCTTAATTTATGTTAATTTGGCGTTCCACAATAAAGACATGCGTCTGAATGATTGAGACTACAGTGGAGAAGATTTACGGAAAGCTTCAAGTCGGATCAAAATTGAACATAAACTTTTAAACTTTTTTTTTTTTTTTTTTACATATATTTGCACTTTTTATTCATAACATCAATTGTTTTTTAATTGTTATAACACTTTCACATGCGCATGTATGATAATTTTCATCTTTTGGTACACAAATACATTATATTTAATCTACACACAATACATAATAATTATATAACTGTGTAACGTGCGTTTATATGCGATAAGTAAAATCTAATGTTTTAAAATAAAATAGACCTGTCATTTTTTCGATAGTAAATGATAAGAAACTTTATATATTAAGGTTCATCGATACTCTGATAAGAGAGATAACTCTTAATGTCTTTTATTCATTCAGAGAGTTGCCGAGTTGAAGTGTCTTTTTTGTCTAATTTTGCCCCGAAAGCTATGCTATAATTGTATTTAACTTATAAATACATTTCTTTTGGAAAATCGTTAAGACGAGTAGAGGGTTTATGAACCTTAAATATGAAAAAAATCCTGATGGTTAAGATCTTGTGTTAAGGTGATTTAAATGAAGTTCAAAACTAATTGTTTTGTTTTATTTTCTTTCATTATATTAAATAAACAATGTGATTCCATTTGGTTAATATTTTTATTAAAAACTTTTAATTTAGATGACTGAGATAAAGATTTACATTCTGTGAAGCTTGGAATATTAATAAATAAAAATGTGAACTTTAAGATAGAAATTTAATTTGAGTATGTTTATGTATAATATATATTAATTATTCATACCCATTGAACAATCAGTTAAGTGTCAAATATTATTATGCTTACAAAATCCGATCAAATTTTAGCAAAAGGTCATTGGTATGTTTGCATGTGAGAATTTTTTTTCGGGACTTCTCACCGTGGATTTATCTGTGCTCCAGGGCACTTTACATTATATTAAGCGTGCGCGCGCGATCCAAAAAAGCAACCACATGTTCTCAAGGGTGCCGGGAAATAAAAATTGTTCATGTTTATATATAATTTTTAAAAAAAATACATAATACATATATGGCTACGAGGGCAACATACCAGAATATTTGCCCTCGAGTGGACAAGAAAGCCATGTTATGTTACCCTCTGCCTTCGGCATCGGCGCAGCTGTTGGTGATCTTCGTGATTGGGAGTTATCAACTTCAATTCATATTTCCAGCACTTCGTCAAACCTAAAATTTAACTTGAGGTACAGATTGTTCCTTCGCCAAGTGCCCTGCACTACAAGTGAAACTCACGGGACTTTCGGATGAGACCTTAAAACCTGAGGTCCCGTGTCACGATAGAGAACCCTCACTACTTCATTAACTTAATGAGGCAAGTAAAGGTCTATGTTTGAAGCCATTCTAAAAACAAAACGTTTTTGCATGAGAAACTTTACTCAGCAAGACCTGAAAACGTAAACAATGAACCAAACTGAACAAAACTATTACTAAACTAAATCTTTGTAAGTTTTACAAGTGTCCCAGTGTAGCATTTGAAATATAATACTCAACTAACCCTTTCTGAGGAATCAGATCTCGGTTGCAGTAAAAATCATTTTTAAAAAGTAGTGGTAAGTAAAGCCTGAAAACATCAACCTTATCTTCATGTGAACAGAGATTTAAAAAATCATATATAAAAATAGGTAAAAACTTACCTAAACCGTACTTTTTATTCTATATTCGGGGTTCATGTACAGTGAACAGCATTGATTATGAGGGCCCATAAAAGAAAAGTAAACGTTAAACTTTTAATTATTATAAACCAATTTGTATATTGAATACTAGTGACAATTTAATAGTTATGGTGGTGATGGAGATTTTTGTGTTCTTCTTAAAATACACAAGTAATGAGACTAGAAGGCATCTATGTCGATTAGCATTTTATTCTAGACTAAAGCATACAAACATATGTACAGTGTATAAGCCTTAGCATGCAATTCGATATTCCTGGGATTGATAGTCAGTGTCCGAAACCATAATAAAGTTAATGTAAACAGTTCACTGGTTTGTTTATTAATGCACTTAAAATATCCAAACACAACATTTCCTCCCTTCTTATTTTTTTACGTAAATAAAATAATATTGAAATTTAACCGTTAATTTTAAAAATACTTAAGAAGAAATAATTTGTAAAGATATACAACAAATAACTTTTACTACATATCTATTATTTACAAAACTAATATGGTTGCAAAAGAAACTTCTGTTTCTACGCGCACTACAACCACTGCTAAGTTATTGCTGTCATGGGAATTATTATTACCCATACGGTGCTACACAAATAACCATTCACAAATTCAGTTTGACCACGGGCTTCCTGGTTCGCAGCGGATATCTTCGTTCGGGCGGCGCATTAATTATCGGCGGTGATTGGTCAGACGTCTCGCCTGCTTCACTGTCAGCTGCCTTATCGTCGATAATTGGTATTACCGCATCGGAATTTTCCTCAGGATCGGCCTTGAACTCGGCATCTCTAATTTGGTCGGCGTGTCGCTTCCAAATCCCCCCTGTTTGTGTTTTAATTTCGTAATTCAACGGTCCTTTGCGCTGAATGATTTCTCCGCTGGTCCATTTCTCTTTCCCGCGATAATCCCTAACGGCCACGTGTTGTCCAGTGTTAAATTCTCTTAATTTCTCTGCTTTAGTGGTGATAGCAGTTTTCATTTGTTTATCATTTACAGTTCGTCCCAGGTCAGGTTTGATAAGGTCAAAACGGCATCTAAGGTTTCTCCCCATGAATAACATCGCTGGCGTTTCATTTGTTGTAGCGTGAGGTGTGTTACGGTACGTAAGAAGAAAATTTGCTAACTTCTTATGAATGTCCGCATTTTCTTTATCCATGGCTTTCATACCTTGTTTAAAAGTTTGAACAAAACGTTCTGCCAGGCCATTTGTTGCTGGATGATAGGGTGCTGATCGGATATGGTTTATTCCGTTTAGCTTCATAAATTTTTGAAATTCTTCAGACACAAATTGTGGGCCATTGTCGGAAACAAGCTGCTCCGGTAATCCGTTTCTTGCAAAGATATTACGCAAAGTAATAATCGTTTTGGTTGACGTGGTTGTCTGCATAGGAATAACTTCTGGCCATTTTGAATGTGCGTCCACGACGATAAGAAACATGTGTCCTAAAAATGGTCCTGCGAAATCAATGTGGATACGTTTCCACGGCGCTGACGGCCATTCCCATGGATGTAAGGGCGCTATTTTCGGATTGTGGCGATGTTTCTGGCATCCAGCACAACCTTTTACAAGCTTTTCGATTTCAAAATCGATTCCTGGCCACCAAACGTAGCTTCTCGTCAGAAGTTTCATTCGCACAATTCCAGGGTGAGCTGAATGGAACATTTCAAGTGCTCTTTCCCGAAATCGTTGTGGAATGATAACTCTGCATCCCCACATGATGCAGCCTTGACTCACAGTCAACTCATTCTTTCTATTAAAGTACGCATTTAGGTTTGGATCCTCGTTTTCAGTCCAACCATTAACAATACAGTCGTACACCTTTGACAAACATTTGTCTTTAGACGTTTCTCTTCTAATTTCTTGGTGCGTAAGACATGATATTTGTTCCATTTGACTGAGTGTAAACATATCTGCTACATCAGTTAATTCCTCGGCCTCAAGTTCCTCCTTTTCTTGGGGAATTCTTGACAGTCCGTCTGCATTCGTGTGGCGCTTGGTATTGCGATATTCAATGTGGTACGTATATCCACTCAAAAATATAGCATGTCTCTGCATTCGCGCTGCGGAGGTTACTGAAATTCCTTTCCTAGGATTGAAAATTGACACTAACGGCTGATGATCGGTTATCAAGGTAAATTCGCGACCATACAGATAAGTGTGGAATTTCTTCACTCCAAAGACAATACCTAGAGCTTCCTTGTCAATTTGACTGTAATTTCTCTCAGCTTTGTTCAAAGTTCTTGAAGCGAACGCGATTGGGTGCTCCGTCCCGTCCTTCATCACGTGTGACAACACTGCCCCTAATCCGAAAGGTGACGCATCACACGCTAGCCTGATTGGTAAGTTTGGATCATAGTGACATAATACTTGATCAGAGGTTACCAACCTTTTTGCTTCCTCGAACGCTTCCTGACATTCTTTGGTCCACTGCCATTTGACATCCTTTTCCAGGAGTTTGTGCAACGGGTGTGCAACGGATGATAGATTCGGAAGGAATTTGTGATAGTAATTCACGAGCCCTAGAAATGCACGGAGTTGGGTGGTGTTGGTTGGCTCCGGGGTATCCAACACGGCTTTAATTTTATCCTTGGTCTTGTGTAATCCTTGTTTGTCAATTAAATGACCACAATACTCGATTTGATCTTTGAAGAAGTGACACTTGGATTTATTCGCTCTCAAGTTATATTCCTCCAGTCTCTGTAGAACTTGACGTAAGTTTTCCAGATGTTCCGCATCATTCCTACCCGTAATAACCATATCATCCAGAATACACTGAACTCCACTTAATCCTTGCAAAATTGTGTCAATAGTGCGCTGCCATATCGCAGGTGCTGACGCTACCCCGAATAGAAGTCGGTTGTAACGGTATAATCCTCGATGCGTGTTGATTGTGAGAAACTTCTTTGATTCCTCTTCTACTTCTAGTTGCAAATATGCATTCTTTAGATCAATCTTTGAGAATTTCTGTCCACCGGCTAACGAAGCGAATATGTCCTCGATGCGAGGCAAGGGGTATTGCTCTATTTCCAGTTGCGGATTTATCGTAACTTTGAAATCCCCACAAATTCGGATATCACCTGATCTCTTAACTATCGGCACAATTGGCGTGGCCCATTCACTTGTCGGCACTTTAGTAATGATATTCTCACTTTCAAGTCGTTCTAACTCTTTTTCAACTTTGGGTTTCAGCGCGTAAGCAAGCGATCTTGCTTTCACAAATACTGGTTTAGCGTTTTCCTTCATGATGAGATTCGCCTTAATTCCATTGACGGATCCAGTTTCCATTGTAAACACGGCACTGTGTTTATCAAGAATTTTCTCTAACTTCTGTGATAATTCGTTGTTATCAAGTGTAACGTTGTTTAGGGAACTCCAATCCAATTTGATTTTTCGTAGCCATTCACGCCCGAAAAGTATCGCTTTTCCCTCGGAAACAACATACAGTTCTAATTTCTCTTGTTGATCTCTGTACACGACGTTTACGTCAGCTACTCCGAGAGGTTTCAGTTTTTCTCCGGAGTAAGTTATTAAGGTTACACTTGTGTCCTTCAGTTTTCTGTTGGGAAACAATTCTGTAAAAACTTTTTCCGGAACAATGGAGAGCGCAGAACCGGTGTCGACTTCCATATTGACCTTTTTTTTGTCAATACACACGTCCACCATAATTTCGTTCCTTTTTCCGGTATGCACAGAGTACAACCCTGAGTCACAACAGCCGTCTTCATCCACTGCATGTACTTTCTTCGGGAAGGACTTATCCTTCGCACGACATGCCGCCTTTATATGTCCTTTCTTCTTACATTTGTGACATGTTGCATCTTTGAATCTGCATTCTTCTGCTCTGTGGCCACTTTTGTTACATCGGTAACAATTCCCACTTTTCGGTTTTTCAAACCTTGCTTTCGATTTCTGGAATTTTAATTTGTTGACACCAGACTCGCGACTTTTTCCCTGTAATTCCAAGGCGTCTTTTGATGCAATTTCCATAGCGACCGCTATTTGGATTGCCTTATCCAGGGTGAGCCCCTGCACGGACAGTAATTTCTTCTGAGTTTGTTCATCTCGGAGTCCGCACACAAATCGGTCCCTTAGCGTGTTGTTCAGGTCTTGAAAGTCACAATATTCAGAAAGTTTCCTGATTTGTGCGACATATTCATTAACACTTTCACCTTCTTTTTGCTCTCTTTTGTGGAAACGAAATCGTTCTGCTATTACCAACGGTTTAGGCGATAGATGATCTTTAAGAACCTTGACAATTTCGTTAAAGCTCTTGTCCTTTGGTTTATCTGGTGTTGTGAGATTCCTCAGTAACGCATAAGTCTTTCCCCCAATTAAACTGAGGAGCGCAGGTACACGTTTTCCCCCTGTTATTCCATTCACTTCAAAATACTGTTCTAAACGTTCAGTATACGCTGTCCAGGAATCAACAGTGTCATCAAACGCTTCTATCTTTCCAATATATCCAGCCATTGTAAAATCCTCGTCGCCAATTTTGTGTTCTTCTTAAAATACACAAGTAATGAGACTAGAAGGCATCTATGTCGATTAGCATTTTATTCTAGACTAAAGCATACAAACATATGTACAGTGTATAAGCCTTAGCATGCAATTCGATATTCCTGGGATTGATAGTCAGTGTCCGAAACCATAATAAAGTTAATGTAAACAGTTCACTGGTTTGTTTATTAATGCACTTAAAATATCCAAACACAACAGAGATTCATAAATAAAAGATACTTAAAAGTGTAAAAGTATACTTATTTAGTTATTATGTCCAGTTTTAAAATCATGCATTCGTTCAAATGTTGATATCTTTATTAAAACTACCGATTGAAATATCGTATGGTGAGAACTGTCATTTGAAATCATATGAAAAGTAAACCGGATACCTATATTAAATTTGATATTGAATTAAAGATTGATTGTATACTGTTTAACGTCCCTCTCCAGAATATTTCACTGATATGGAGACGTCACCATTGCCGGTGAAGGGCTGAAAATTTAGGCCTATGCTCGGCACTTACGGCCTTTAAGCAGGGAGGGATCTTTATCGTGTCACACCTGCTGTGACACGGCGCCTCGGTTTATACGGTCTCATCCGAAGGACCGCCCCATTTAGTCGCCTTTTACGACAAGCAAGGGGGTACTGAGGACTTTTCTAACCCGGATCGCCACGAATTAAAGAAGAGGCCATGAACATACTAATTACCGTTTTCTGTGAGACTGTAGGCAATCATTGATACATTTCCTTTGCTGAATACGAAAAAACTCCCATATTCATAACTGGTTTTCTGAACTTTTCAATGAAAATGACAGTTTAAAATACAGTTTTTCATCTTGTTTACCCACAAATTATGCCCCGAAACACCTTATTTGACCAAGCTAAAGTTGTAAAGCATCTAAGAAATTTATTTCTCAAGTTTGATAAATCTGTAGGCACCTTTCATTTACAAGATCTTGACCTTAAGACATTAAATGCTTACATAATAGTTACAATGTATCGTAAGTTTTTTTTTTCAAATGTAATGCAAGAGGAGCAATGTTACGTGAGGAATCTATACATTTTATCCATTTGAACTCTTTTCTGACATTATAGTTCCGAAATCGAATGTCAACACCTGTTGTGTAATATATTGCTATTATTCGGTTAATGTAACAGAAAGATGACAATAAATTATGATAAATGCATATATTTAATTGACTTTGATAAAAGGGTGATGGTTTTCTGTGGAAAGATGGTGATATTGGGATGTGGACCGATGCTCAAGCTTCTTACAAGATGTTACTTTAAAATTCAATAACATTTTTCATGATGCGCTTCATGAAATATGCCTACGTGGCAATTCTGCAGTTCACATCAAAACTTTCAAAATTGTGCATTCCATTTATTAAACCAATGCTCCAATACGCTTCTATTGTATGGAATGGGTGCTCTGAGCATGATTTTGAAAAACTTTAAAAAAGTACAACTTCTTGCGGCTAGAATTTTCACAGGACTTCCTATTTTTGCATCTAATGAAACATTTAGAAACGGGATGTTAAACTTTAATATTTAGGTGCTATATTTCAAAAATGACTACTATGTTCAAAATTCAAAAAGAAATTGCCCCTGAATATTTGATTAATATTGTGCCAAACAAGCACGAAAATGTATCAAAATACAATACCCGCAATAAAGAGCAGTTTATTATTCCAAGATGTAGATTAGAATTATTCAAAAGGTCATTTGTGCCAAACGCTGTAAAACATTGGAACTTATTAAAATTAGAAACACGAGAAGCCATTTAAATTAATTCATTTTTAATAATATAGCTTGTACCATTTATTTTTCTTTTGGCAAACTCTTTGTAAACATTGAATATAGAAAGATTGATTGATTGATTGATTGATTGCATTTTCTTTAACGTCCCTCTGAGGATTTTCACTCATATGGAGACGCCACGACTTGCCGATGGAGAGCTACAAATTTTGTCCTATACTCGGCACTTAGGGTCATTGGGCATTGAGGGGTCTTTTACGTGCCAGAACCTGCTGCGACACGGGACCTCGGTTAATACGGTCTCATCTGAAGGACCGGTCCCCACGTCCCACATTGCGATTTGAACCTGCGACGTAAGGATCGACTCTAGAAAAGACGCTCTAACCACTGCGCCACGCGAGCGACCTATATAAAAAGAAAGATGAAAAATTGAAAATTAATAACCAGAAAGAAACAATTACAACCATTTAAATATTTCTGCCCAGGTGCCAAAAAAATTATTTTGTCATATATGACCTCCGTAAAAGCTTTAGCGCTTTCATATCTATACAGAAAAATTGTGTGTGATATGTGCGTATTAATATAGTACAGAAGCCTATTAATGCCATATGATTTTTTTAATTTTTAAATTCTAACTTAGAAATATCAAAGTTTTAAGTAGTTTACCTTCCTAAGCTTCCGAAGCCCATTCTCGTTTGACATCTTTTTTTTTCAGATAAAAAAAAAATTAATATTGTAAACTGTAATAAACATTTTTTTTTTAAATAATTAATTGAATAAAATTCATTTTCACTTTCTCTTATTGACCAATGTAAAGAAACATGTATGTTCTTTTAAAATTTCATCGATTGATAAGAATGTCTTCCTACCTTCTGAAGTAGAGATGATTGATATGAAAGCATACAGTAAAATCATCATAGCGTCCTTCCCCTCCCATAAGCGATACATTTATGTTAAACAAGTTCTCGTAATTTTTGAGACTCCAATATCAGCATATCGGTTCAAATATTTGAAGTTTTGAGAAATTCATTTTTAGCCGGGCTTAGTGCTCAAAGAGCAATTGCCGGCTTATGTGATCCTGTTCAAGGCAGGAAGTCGACCCCATAGTCGCCATTTTAAAGTTACGTGCAAAAATATAATTCTTACTCTCAACCGCTTTTGAGATAATACAAACGCTAAATAAAGTAACAAAAATAAAACGAAGTTTTATCTATAAATAAACATTAGTAGTAACGACTTTGAAAACTTCAGTCCTAAGTCAAAGAACATAGTTCATTAGCGTAAGGATTTTTGATAATCAGTGTTATCGTAGTTCTCTACACATACGAGGTAAAGCAGGAGAGGGAACCAGACTGGCCTGTTTGTTTACATTCAGCTGCGGTACCAGATTAATTCTGATTCTGACAAAATGGGACCGTGGTATTACATGTAGGATTGAAAAACTCACTGTCAGTGTCTTATCATTTATATTGATAGTTTTAAAATAATTTTTTCATCAGAATATAAACGTGATTCATGTAAGAAATTCATTCTACTCTGTAAATGAGCCCGGCTCTCTGTACTTCTGAGTACTTTGATTTTAATAAAGGAAATAAAATGTACACGTTTAATCATGAGTCATTGCTCTTTTCGAATAACATTTCAGCATATTGCATTTTAATCAATTTATAAAATAAAACAAGAGGTACATGAGCCACATCGCTCAGCTGAGCACTGTGGCTTGGGAAAAGTAGAAATTGTTTTTTTAAGGAATAACTGTCCAGTTAGTAAAGTATGCCATGGCATCAACAATAGTGGGAAACATGGGATAATTTGCATAACGGCCGAAATATTATATATTTCATGAAGCGCGACATGACAATTGTTATTGAAACAGCATCTCGTGAATAACTTGAGCTTCAGTCTATCTCCCAAAGAAAAGATGATCACTATGAAAATGACTCTAGAATCATCATAGCCACCTACCAACACAAAGTTTTGTTATTAAATATTGATTTATAAAGTCTGTAAACATGTATTTATATTATAAATCATTGCCATTCTAATGTTACATGTCTATGATCGCATTTTCTTAATAATAGTTTAACTGAAATATAAATTAAATAGATAAATTGCATCTCATAAATACATTACTCCTCTTGTATTACATCTTTACAAACATGTGATATATCTAAACTGTTTGTGGATATATCTCAGTATTCAGTATATATATCTAAAACTTTTTACTCGACTCAAAATTTGATAATTTAATAACTTCCAACACACACAGAACTTTTGATAAAAAAAATTCACAAGACTATTAGGTTCTTGGGTGTAATATCGTTTACAAAGTTATTGAACTTAACATTCTAATAGATTTGGCAGCAATAAATGCTTAGACGCTGCACATCGGTGTCTATTTAATTTTGTTTTGATGATTTTGATTGGGACCTGTTTAACTTCGATGGGGATCGGTTTTTGAAAATACAAATCAATATCATTCTTCAAAATTTCTCAATTTTATTACAATTTCTTTTTATAATTCGATTGACTAACATATTTTTCCTAACTATAACATTTTTTTGAAAGTTTTATTCGTAATCAAAAAAGGTATATATATATTTTTGGTGTCGTTATTGTCATAAACATTTCTTTACAATTTCAACTTCTTCTTGAGAACAGCTGGGCCTTTTTCAACCAATTGTTGCAGAGAACTAATCAATAATTAGTGAAAATTTAATGGGATCTTTCAAAATTCTTCTTCTGAAGGAACCACTGGCCCAGAAAATATTAAACTTAAGTCAGACCTTCATTATATAGTGTAGATTCTAGTATGTGGCCGCTAGGGGTAGTGTTGGGCCTGGTATGGTCTTTGGAGAGTTCAGATTAATGCTTTAATTCAATTTCAATGATAAAAGCTGGTCCTACAAAACTTAACCCAGACTGGCATTTGGGACTATGAAAGGTAAAAAAGAGGTATTCAAACGTTAAAACATGGGTGGAGATTGATTCCAGTGTACCACAAAGTACTGCATTTGGTGGATGATTCCTGACTTCATATATGAAATAAAAAATGTCATCGCTTGTGCCACATGTTTACAATCATGCTTTTGGAAAAAAAAATTTCTTTCAAATTCTTCAGAATGAACAAAGATCACCACACTGTCTCTACAGGAGTATGCAACAGGTCCAGTAGTGACATTTAACCTCAAAACTGGAGCTTATGTAGATGCCATAGCTCTCCTTCGTGTGATTCCTCCCAGGGACCTAAATACCCATCGGCAAGGTACTTTGCTCCACATTGTGCGAACAAGGAAATCTGCCTCAATCCAACTGTTTCGTAACCGTCGTCAAGATAAAATTAACGCGGAAATACATGGGCATTAAATACAAAATGATTGGAAACAATAAATTAAATTGTAGAGAAAGTCTATTTGTGAAAAGAAAATATTTCCCTCCGTTATTTGATCTTTTCATATTTTTTTTCAAGTATTGACTTATATCTTAAAATACAAAAATTTTTTTTTTCATAACAAAGATCTTTGTTCTTTGATTTCTTGTTGATTTTTTTTATAAAAACATTGTGCAATCCTATATATCGGTCATTAAAATTTTCCAAAATGTGTGCATTTACTGACACTATACAACTTTCAACAAAAATGAGGTGTTACACATACATACACATTATTGAACAAAATGAAAATGGGTGCAATTGTGACGTCATACCAAAAAAAAAATTGTAGGTACTGGAGAATGAAATATGAAGTCCGCATTTTTGGAGTTTTAAGCTATGATATAAGGTAAAATGTCCCTCTGATAAGAGATGCCTTTCTTAGGAAATTATTCTAATCAATGTAATGAATTGTCTTAACCATGTATAATCATGATGACAATTTTATAGTAAAATCTAATCTATGCTACAATTATTGACAATTATGTTTTGCCAATATCTTTAACTACATTGTCACGTACAATAGTTTACATAAAACAGTTGTACCTAGTTCCTTTTGTCTGTTAAAACTGATATATTTCTGTCTCTTACTATGAATATAGGAAATAACTAACAGTATTCAAGCTGGCAAAAGTCAATTTAAACAATACAAATCAGGAGCTGGGCAAACACGAACCAATAAAACCTTAGAGGTAGGACCAGGTGCCTTGGAGGAGTGAGCTTCCCCTGCCGACCGGTCACACCCGCCGTGCTCCTTGACATGATCGGGTTTGTCGACAATTCAGTGTGCAAATAATGGCCTAACAACAAGTATGATGAATGACTGTTAGCATTTGACTTAACAGTAAATTGTATTTGCTGATAATGTCATTGTATAAAGACAATTCTGCTAAAGGAATTTATCATGTATCAGATGCAAAATTTTCATATTCAATAACATTAATATTTGTTCTTTAGTACAAAGGCTTGATGTTACACATAGATAAATTCTTAATAAAATAAACAAACTCACTGTGTAGAGAAAAATGATTTATTAACAAATTTAATGTTCAAAATACTGTTAAAACGAACACCAAAATACCTTAATCCTGATTATTAAATGAAAAATTCTCCTTTTGTGAAGTAGGAAAAGCATATTAAATAAAAAAAAAATATTAAAAAGTAAAGCAAAGCAGAATGGGGTGGGAATCCTCCTTGATACTTTTCTGTCAGTAAGTTACACATTTGACCCGCGTGCCTCAGTAGCCCCATATTCTTCTCTTACCATTTTTGTTTGTAAATATTTTAGAAAACACAGCAATAAGGAATTTCTTTCAATTTTTATTATAATCAGTTTGACAATTGTCATGCTTCGCAGATATAGCCACCAAGGTGTGTACCATTATCACAGTAGACATTGTGGAACGTGTACCGTTCTCCTGCATAAAAGAACAAACAATCCTCGGGAGAACGGTCCGATCCATTGGGTTCTCTGGCACCAAAGGCATAATACGTCATCTTGGTCATTTGTCCATGCTTGATCCACCTCCAGTCCCCTCCTGGTTTTCTTCTGTTTATGTTTCTTCCCCCGACATAAAAGTGAATTCCTTTTAAATTAAAAATAAATGGAACATGAAAAATGTATTTTCCTAACAATTGAGGACAAAAAGAGTATACAGTATTTAAAATTTTCATAGAAGAGACATGTAATTTTAAAATATATAGTTTTTCATTAATTTCCGTACCTTTATTCATTTTCTTTAGAACCTTTTTCATTCGCAAAGCCTCTTCTAGAGTTTCAAAGTTAGCCAGGTAGCCACCAGTTTCTAAACAGTTGGCCTTTATGATATAAAAAACAAAGAATTATAATATATTTATTTTTTCAAAAACACTTATATTTTACTTTCTATATTTTGTGTAGAATCATATCCACATGCGATTTTACTTACAAACGCTGTGTCAGCTGACACCTTATCCTTCTTGATCAGATAACAAGAATCCCACATCTTTCTATACTGTGCAGGGCATTCAACTTTGTTAAGAAGTCAATGAGTGATAAAATATGGAAATAAAAATTAAATAAGATTAAGATTATAAAATCTAGAGAAATCTAAAACTGAGTGCTTTTAGAGACTCTTCAATCAACACAAATAGTAAAAAAAAAAAAATCTGCAGTTCATGCATCGTCCTAATTCTTTTAAAGTCTTGTGAAAGTTTCTTCATGTACAGTGTAATTAATTATCAGTATCCTTTAGTCTTTTATATTCTACACGAGTGCGGTCTTATTTTTTTTATTAGCTACAGAAATGTACCGTTATGGTTTTATACATTGGTCTTTGATCAAAGATTAATATATAAAACCATAGCGCTGGAGTTCTGCAGCGAATTTTTAATAAAACTTTTTTAAGCCACAGAATTCATTTCATAACTTAGACAATTAATGTCCATTTTTATCAAACTTTATTTATATATAACAGAAAAATAATCATAGAATAAAATTCTTCTTAACTTAGATAAAACTAAATACCTCCAACAATTTCCACTGCATCGATTTCCACCCAAGATGGAGAAACAGAACAATCGACTTCTATTCTCAGCTCATTCACAGGAAAATTCACTTTCTGAATTTAAAAAATCAACTCTTTATCATAGTCCAAACATTTTCCATAAGATTCTGTTTAACCTAAACACAAGATAAATGCTTAGTAACTATAAGAGAAATAAAAAAAAATCATTGCCATCTGTATCATGATTTTTTTAAACGAACAATGAGTTTGTACTAAAGTACTATTAGTACTTTGATAGAAAAGTGAAAAAAAAAAACTCACTTTTAGTTTGGGTGAGAATTTCCTAGCCTTTCTGATTGGGTGTACATGATAAACTTCAAAAATTTCAATCCACTGGTTTTTTTTATCCTTCGCTAATATTCTTTTGACAGTCCCAGCATTATATGTTTCATAAATATTAACCTCAGTTAACCAAACCTTTTCTGGAAATCTAACCTGGAAATGAAACAAAAGCATACCTTAAATATTACTTTGCAAAGTTTGCTTTTATTTTAGCTTTGAATTTGTTTGTTTCTTTTTCCTTTTTTTTCTAAAAAAAAAGAGAATTTCTTTGCAGTAAAAAAAAATCTTTCAACTGGATTGATCTCAAGAGGGACGTTAAACAATATACAATCAATCAATCAATCAATCAACTGGATTGACCATCTTTGTTTATCACGCTGCATTACTTTTTAAAATCTTGTTACAATGAAGCGCATTGAAGTGGTAAAATTTTAGGTTTGGATTGAACGTTTTGAGCTATCTTTAGACACGCCCATTTCTTTAGAAAGGAAAAATCGGTCAAATGATTCAGTCGAATACCTGTGGAACAGGTATTCGATAAATATAGTAGCGAATCAAATTGACGGTCTACATAAACACCGAGTAAGCACGTGTTCGACTGATACATGTGTTATGCTAACTCCAATAAGCATGATAAAATCATAATTATGCACAAATTCGTTTCAATGTGTGTTTTACAGAAGCGGGGACTCTATATATAGCTCTTTCTTATTTAAAAATCTTCATTTCAGTGTAACTCATGTTGCTTGTCGCGGAAAGTGGGGTGTCCTAAAACATAACGACGAATATTTCTTTCTCTTTTCTAAAGAAATGGGCGTGTCGTTATGTTATAATTGACGTTCAAAACATGACTCAGAACGTTTCATCCAAATGGAAAATTTTACCACTTCAATGCGCTTCATTGTATATGGCAATTCCAAGTTTTTTCCCTCTGTTTAGAGTCCTACATTTGTTCAAAACCCGCCTATTCCTCTTTGAAAAAACCTAAACAAAACATAAAATACAGACTAAAAGGTCATAAAATGACGTTATATTCAAAGTATTTTTATCTCATTCAGTCATTGAACTATTTTCCTGAAAGAAATATCAACTCTTTATCAGAATCAAAGTATTAAATGCTTAAATTACATATTATGTGACTTTCTCTACAGATTTATTTAGAGACATTGAGAAAATTTTATTAATTTCGACCAAGTAATCAATTTCAGGACTTATGATTTTGCGTTTTTCTGGTATGGAGGGTCAAAAACAAGGTGCACGCGGAAGCTAAACTAAGAAGAAAACATGGCATACGAAGCCATAAGAAACATTATTATGTCGGAAAAATGACAATCGTTAGATTAATTCATGGCCATTGTTAACTTTTTTTTCTTGAGATGGCTTTGTACCTGTATAAACTGGTTCTCGTTCAGTTGTCCACTTGCCTGTGTCCATGTCCCTGAGAAATCACCATAGCGAGGATAAACATTGGGTTTTCCTAATATCTGTTTTGCTGAGTATCTGTAAAAAATGCAGAATTTATGAATGGGATATTGAATTTAAATAAAACTAATAATATTAAACTTATATTAGTTACACAGGAAATATAATAGAAGTTTAAAAAGAATGCAAGGATCTTACGAGCCTGTGTTGTGCTGTGACGAAAATGCTGTAACTTCTGAGGCCCATTGATGTTTGATGGCTTTCCATTCACGTAAAAAAAATCAATTTTGATTATTAAATTTAATGAATTGTTTTCTTTTTCCTGCACACAAATACTTATTAAATGAAATTATATACTGTGAAATCAGGTATTTTCGTGGGCGGTTAATTTTCGTTGTTTTCGATGTATGTAGAGACCTATGAATTTATGACCACCACGAAATGCAGAATTTCATTTACATTACTACGAAACTTTTTACAATCACGAATTCAAAACCCCTAAAACCAATATTTTTCCTCAAACCTCGAAAATTTGACCCCATGAAAATACTAGTATGTGATTTTACAGTAATTTCTTCATTTTTTAAAAGGTAAATTTTTGTATAAATGTTGAATGTAGTCATTTGTTAAAATTTTAAGTCTCGCAAAAATACTGATTGCTTCGAAAAATTGAATCAATAAACATTCAAGTTTGTTCTCTTGTGCGCAAGTTCATTTGAATGGTGACACTTAAGCCTACCTTCTGAAGACGCTACAACCAACATGAAAATGCACAGTAGAATCGCCATAGCTCCCTACCACAAATAATAATGGCATCTGTTGTTCGGCTATTTTTTAAAGTTGATCAATAAATAAATTCGTTTTTCGTGAGTCATCTAATATTTCTTTTTAATGTGTGTATCGTGTTTCCACAATATTTAAACACATTATCTGAAAAAAAATAAAGGTTTAAATAAAGGTGGAAATTCTTCAATCCATGTTTGACAAACCAGCCAATACTTTATCAAGTAAAACCTGCAGATAAAGAAACAAAAAACAATGTTTTTCCCGAAGTTTAGTTGAAATAAGTTTCCACCAGAATGGTGCATATATAAAATGTTGAAGTACAGAAGACTATTTTCATTATTTTATTTTTCATTTAATAACATTTTACATATTAACAATTTATACATACTTCAGTAAATTCTTTTGCATCAACAGTTTATATACACCAAAATCCCACAATCATCGACAGATTTCCCCGTTATTTCCCGCATGACAAGGAGCACACGGCGGTTTTGACCGATCTGCAGGGGGTGGATGCTCACTCCTCCATGGCACCTGATCCCACCTCTGATGTTTTGTAGGTTCATGCCTGCTCTGTCCTTTAATGGACTTTTGAGCTTGAATATAGTTCGTTATCTCCTTACATTTCATCTGAGCAAACACAGCAATAAGAATTTGTCTACAGTTTTATTAGAATATGTGAAAAGATCTTATTATACATGTAATCAGTTGGACAATTTTCGTGCCTCGCAAATATAGCCACCAAGGTATGTACCACTATCGCAAGAGACAGCATGGAAAGTGTACCGTTCTCCTGCATAAAAGAACATGCAGTCCTGGGGAGAGTTGTCCGATCCATTAGGTTCTCCGGCCCCAAAGGCGTGATACGCCATCTTAGTCATTTGTCCGTGCTTGATCCATCTCCAGTCCCCTCCTGATTTTCTTCTGTTTATATTTCTTCCCCCAACATAGAAATGAATTCCTGATTCATAAATTTTAAAAAATAATGGAATAACTAAAAAATCTTTTTAAAATATGAAGCTCTAAATACTAATTAAAATGTTTCACTATTTTTTTAAATTTAATTAAATTGTACTGAACCATATAAAGATATACTTTTCGAGTCTCTTGTTCATTTTCAATATTGGGTACTGGATATGCTCAAAGACAATGAAGTATTAATGAATAAAAATCACTTTTGATAACTTTAATGGGGGAAATAATACTTCCTCAGACCTGGTACTTCATCAATCATCTTAGTCTCATATGAATCTACATTGAACATTTTGAAGAGCAGAATTTATCCAAAATCATACGTGAAAAGAAGAAAACACTTGCTGTGGCGTTCAACTCGATATTTAAATATATCGATTTATTGTCAATAAAAATCATGGTTATTTCTATTCTTATGTTGATACAATATATCCCCGTAAGCTTGAAATGAAAGATACAACAGAGTCTGACACATCTGTGTCATAAAGGGATACTTTATTTGAAAAGGTGTTATTGGTAATCTAACAACCAAGCTCTATGATAAACGTGATGACTTTAACTTTTTAATAGTCAACTTCCCCTATTTATGCTGCAAGAGACCTTCATCACCTGCATACGGAGTTTATTCCTCACTTGATATGAAACAAAAGGGTATGCTCTACATATATCTATGCACAATTTCTGAAACGAGGTAAATAAATCATTGACAAACAAGTTGATGAAACAAGAATATAAGCAGTCTCGTTTAACCTTGTCAGCAACACAATTTATTATTTAATCAAATGCTGACTGACGTTTTTCATACTAATTGTTAGGACACTATTAACACACTGAATTGTCTGCGGATTTTTCCGTTATTTCCCGATCTTGACAAGGAGCACGAGGAGGGTGTGACAGGTCGACAGGGGATGCTCACTTCTCCATTGCATCTGATCCAAACTCTGGTGTGTTAGAGGTCCGTGTTTACGCTGCTCCTATTTTGTATTGTTTAATGGATTTTTGATTATGATTATTTTTGTTTAACGGCGAGTCGGCAATACTAGTATATCAGCTATATTTCGGCGATCAATGGACTATTGAGCTTGAATACCGCTCGATATTATCTCCATATATTTCATTCCTTAATCCAAGAAATTAATAAGTAAAGCTTGTATAATAAAAACATTAATTGTATGTAATGAAAAAAAAATGGAATCTTAATTATGTTTTACCTGTGTTCATTTTCTTTAGAATTTTTTTCATTCGCAAAGCCTCTTCAAGAGTTTCAGTTAGCCAGATACCCACCAGTTTCTAAACAGTTGGCCTTTGGGATATAATACATAGAAAAGATAGTAAATATAAATTATATTTCATCGAAAGTGGTTCCAGTTTGTGTATCTTTATATTTTCTTTGCCAGTTTCTGTCTACTTACAAATGCTGCGTCGGCTGAGACGTTATCTTTTTTGATCAGATAACAAGAACCCCAGAGTTTCTGAAACTCCTCTGGACAATCCCCTGTTTGAAGAAAAAAGTAAAAGTGATTCAAACAATTGTATTAGACTCAGGAAATTTTAAAAATTCTAAAACATTTGAACATGACTATTTTCTGAGTCAGTGAATACAACTAAAAAAATAGTTAATATAAATGTATAATTTCTGTTTCAGTAGGATTTATTATGCTCTTCTGAAGAGGATTATATGATACATGCGGATATAATTGTCTTATGATTACACAAAGCTTAACGTGGTATGAATAAAACACAATATTTAACATTGTTATATTTTTCTACCTGATTACATTTTCTAAAAAGAAACAAAAGGAGCAAATGTATTTGAAAATTTTTACCTCCAACCATTTCCACTGCGTCAATTTCAACCCATGAGCGAGAAACTGTACAGTCTACTTCTATTCTTAGCTCGTTTACAGGAAAATTCGCCTCCTGAATAAAATGAAATTTAATCTTTTAACCCTCCATCTCAATTAACCATACAAAAATCCCTTAAGTGTTTTCGTCTTTTAATATTTCTATTGAAAATGTTCTTTATATATAAAGCAATGGTGATTTGAAAACTTAGGGAAAAAAACAGAACATGTCAATTTCACAATTAACTTTTTAAAATTAGTAAAGCGTATGTTTTCCTAAAATTTAAATTTAAAAACCACTTTCAAAAGCCTTTTTTTTTCCTGGAAAGACTTTTTAGGATTTAAAAAATGTCAACGGTTAATGATTAAAACCACAGGCCCTGACGTTACTTTCTTTTTATTAATAAAATATATTTTTTTTCATTTAAAAAAAAATAAGTAACTCCAGGTGCCTGTGTGATTAAAACGACGAGAGATATTTTAAAATAAAATAAATATTAAAAACTCACATTTAATTTTGGCGCGAATTTTCTCGATTTCCTGATTAACTGAGCTTTTGAAACCTTAAAAATTTCCACCCATCCGTTTTCTTTATTCTTCGCCAAAATTCTGGTGACTGCTCCGGCATTCAATGTTTCATATATGATAACCTGGGTAAGCCAAACCTTTTCTAAAAATTGTACCTGTCGTTCAAAAAAAATTTAATTAGAAAAAAGTCTTTTTACGTTATTTACATGTGTAACGATTTACAAAGAATGTTTTCTTTAAATAAGAAAAATATTTCTTTGATGATCATTTATATTATTTACGGAATGTATTCCTATTTTAGCATGCCTATGGAATATGAGGATATGACGACTGACGTCGTATCATCATCGTTGCTAACAGACTAAGATATCTTTCACTACATACATTCATCAAGACATCTTTTACTGCAAGTACATGTATGTCTTATTGCCTTAATTTTGACCGTACTTCGAGAAACTGATCAGCATCTAGTTTTCCTCTCGCTGGAGTCCATGCCAATGAACTATCGCCATAATGAGGGTATACATTTGGTTTCCCCAATATTTGTTTTGCAGCGTATCTAGAAAATTTTCAAAAACTTATTTTGAAATACATAATACAGTTTATAAACTTTAATTGACAAAAACAGGTCATATGTGATGCGCTTATCAGTGTTTCTTTTTTTCACACTGGTATTTATAAGAATAGAAATATAATATTTCATTACAATGTATCATCAAAATAAATGTTTTTTTTTTGGGGGGGGGGATCAAAGTGCATCACAGATTATTTTTTCGACCTTGCCTTTCATATTTCTACAGCTTTGTAACACCAAAACTTTTCTGTAAAAAAAAAATATGTTGATGATCCTCTTTATTATAAGAGTATCAATTAATATTTAATTTTCTAGGATTTTTATATTTACTAGGAAAAAAGAATTGTCCAACAATAAGTTTTATCAAGTTGTGTAATTTAGATAAGTATATCTTTGTTCATATATACTAACAAAAAAAAATAATAAGCCTGTCAAAACTACAATTAATATCAAACTAACTAGAGGTACTGTGAGCAATGAGCTCACTAAATGATACCCCCACCTCCCATATGAATATAATGGCAGTGTCCATGTTTTGCTATGGGAAACCCAAAATATATGTCAGATCAAAAAAGTAAAATAGGCTTGATGTGCATAATGGCAATATGTAAAAAAGATTCTGTGAAAGTTTCATTAGATTTCACTCAGTTGTATAAGAGGATTTACGCATAAGAGATGGGTACCCCAAACCGTAACAGACGAGTGGACGTATAGACAGACGGGCATCCCGATTACTATATACCCTCCCGCTTTTTAAGCGAGGGTATGATAATGATTCTTTTTAAAATTATTTTTGGAAGATATGTGTTCATGACTAAGATTTTTATTTTGTTGAAATAATTCAAATCACTATATCAAATAAAGCTCACCCATCTGCACTAAATTGAGATGAGAAACCCGTCACTTTTGATGCCCACTGGTGTTGGATAGTCCTGTTTTCTAAAGAAATTATGTTTAGAAACATAAAACATTCGATGAAGTGCAAGCGAATACATTTGCGCGTACTACCATATTAGGAACATATTAATATTAAGAATATTACCATTTGTTAAGAAGTGTTGATTCTTGTCATATATGAAAGATACAAAGAGACAATAATAATTTTTGGACAGTTATTTAACCAATGAAACTGAAGCATTTTATGATTATGAGAAAATCATCAAAGTTACTTACGATGCGATTTTCTTATAAAGAACGCCAACAAGAGCAAATATTTAAACCACATCTCTAAATTAAAAAAATCCTATGAAAATACTTTATTACATGTACTAATAATAAATATTAGACACTAAATTTGTACATACAAATAAAATGACGATTAGTATGGCAAGCCAACTTCATTTAAAAAAAAAAAAGCTAAATAAAGTTTCACAGCTGATAACTAGGTGTGAATAATGTAAACGAATTATATTAGTTATCCAGGTTCAATCAAGGGTGTACGGGGATTTACCCCGGGTTGTATTCCATACACCCTGAGGCCGAAGGCCGAAGGGTGTAAATAACCCGGGGTAAATAACCGTACACCCTTGATTGGACCTGGATAACGAATTTATTTCCTTTGTACCCATAAAAATGCTCTGTAAACATGATTTTTAGCTTTTATCATAGAGAATGTATACATTGTGACGTCACGTTTTATTTACACCCGGCTCAAGTCGGGTGCACGGATATTTACACCCGACTTTGTAACCAATCAAAGCTCGTGTTACAAGCTAGATAGGAAATAATGTAATTTATTTACATATAAGAAATAAGGTATCATTTTTTGAGTTTTATTGGTATGTAAAACGGGTTGGTCACGTGATCAAATCCCATAAAGCCCGAAGGGCTTTATGGAAGATTTGATCATGTGCCAACCCGTTTTACATCCCAATAAAACTCAAAAATGATACTTTATTACTTATATTTACATTTGTGACTTAATTATTCATACTTTAAATTTGCCTGACTGTGACTTTTAACGTGTGTAATGCATTATTTTTCAAACCCAACGGCATGTATGTAATCCACTGAACGCGTTATATAAAGGAAAACATTTGCAAATGTAAATATTTATCTAAAAAGCCCTCGCGCTTTAAAATGATTTAATCATGTAATAGTGTGCCATTTGTTGATTTGTTACTTTTAAATTGTTGATATGACTATAACTGATATATTACTTGTTCTTTTCTCATGTCATTCTTCATATGAACTGAAAAGACTGTTAACATGAGTTTGTATGTATATTTGACAATGTGTATGTTTGATAAAGAATTACAAGGACTGACCGTTGTCTTGTCCATTTTCGATTATTTCCTTTGTTTAATGCTATAAGACGTATGTCTTTTGCAATAAAGAAATTGCATTGAAAAATTGAATCTATAGTTTACGAACCCTTAACTATAGTTAGCGATTCGTTAACTATAGTCTTCATCTGTATAGTTAACGGTTGTAAACTATAGTTTACGAATGCTAATCTAAGTTTATCTGTCTCTAATTTAACTTTCACGATAAATTTTGTTGATAAACACATATTCACACCTGTAAACTATAATTTACACTCGTTAATTATACTTAAGATTTGTTTATTATAGTTTCACAAATCGTGAAACTATATTATCAGATACTATGTTTTCCATTCGATAATTATAGATTTTGGTCATAAACTATAGCTAACTATCGTTTATAGTAATATAAATATATTTAACAGACGTAAACTAGACTTATCGATCGTAAAACTACAGTTTTGAGAGATAAACTATGATTCACATTTCACAATCAGAGTTTATCGTCGTTGGCTATAATTTACACTCGTAAACTATAATTAAGAGTTGTTAAATATAGTTTATGAATCTTAACACCTGTTAACGATCGATAGTTTTCAATTCAAAATTTCGCGGCACCAATCCCGAGAGGCAATAATGTATTCATGAGTTACATTGCCGTAAATTCGATATTTAAAAAAAAAAAAAAGTTCTGATCCATATGAACAGAATTCTTTTAAATAATAAAAGATAATATATAATAGCTAGGTACTTACTGCCCTAATCCTTCTCCTAAGCTGTGCATAAGTTTTACATGACTCGCATTAAAATCAAATTTATAGTTTTTGTTACTAGTATGTTACAAGATTTATAACTGTAGCTTGAATTGCTCACTAGATAACAGAAATATGAAGAGCAAATTCACAGAACATGTGGTAGGAAACTAAACACTCTAAGTCTTCGAGAGTTATACTTGTTTGCAACAGATTTCACCTTCGTAAATATTGTAACATATTGATAAAAAAAAACTTTGTTCTTATAAAGAGATTTATTTCATCTTTGATTTCCGACCGCAGGTTTATCAATGAATGTTTTAAAAATCATACATAAAACGTTTGCAACCATAAGAAGGTAACATTATACGTTTGCAAATTTCAAAAAATAAATTTAAAAAAATGTTTACAGCGCCAAAATGGTCACAGTCAAGCGGCATAGCAAAAGTTTTTCAATTAAATTATAGTGCATTTTGTGATAATATGCGATATTTAGTGTGTCGGTAGAGTAATATATTATGTACAAACATTTTAGATTTTGGACAATTTTGGCAGCCAATTTTCAAAATGGTCGTCATATGCCACATAAATACAAGCATTCAAATTATGTAAACCGATAGCAGCTAATAGATTAAGAAATTTATATGTGAGCTTAAGGCTCAAGCAAGAAACATTATACTTTAATGTCTTAATCTTCTTTAAATTTACAATTATTTAAGTTCTGCCAAAGAAAGAGGGCGTACAAGGCGTGGACAATGACCCGCTCTGAGATATGTTTCTCAATTTTCAAAATTCACGGAAAAGTTATATTTTTCTAAAATCATGTTCTAAGTAATGTCATCTTAAAAACATTAAAATATTCTTTTATTTTACTGAACGGCTTGACAGTTGAGCATATTTAGTGGATAATGGGTTTACTAGAGACATAAAAACTGAATTTTGAACATGAATGGGTCAAGTCTCCATTCTTCTTTGAAAATCAAACATTTCTGAAAAAATGTACGCTTCAACAAACCCGTTTACTGTAAAATTTTCATCGGGTCAAATTTTCGTGGTTTTAGGAAAGATTCTTGGTTTGTGGAGATTTTATTTCATGGATGGAGAACTTATAAGTAGTTATTTATGTAACATTTTACATTTCGTGGTGGACATAAATTCGTGGGTCTCTTCATACCTCGAAAACAACGAAAACTAGAACTGTCCAATAGGGACAAATACCCCCCGCTGGGTTTTTCAGAGAAGGTGCCAATTCAAAAACACTTTATGGATCTAGAGATGTTCACAATTTACTTAAAAAAATTTGCAGTGAAATAAAATTGCTCATCATGTTTCTTTATGAATGAAACGGAGGTGCAACCAAATGAAACATCAATACTAATACATTGTAATTCCATTGTAACATTTTTTTTTATTTTTATCATTTAATTTTTCTTCATTACTGCATTAAAAAAATATATTGCAATTATGTGTTAAAAATTTTGCAAACTGATTGTTGAAAAAAGAAACCATTTACAAAATCAAATTAATCTTGATATATCAATTTGAAATGCATTTTAAAAATAAAGAACTGGTCATCCAGTAATGAAGTGTTTTGACAGACAATAAATTACAATTAAGAGAATAAGAGAAGAGAGATCTTTAATTCTTGTGCCTTATTCCCTGAAGGTTTGATAACACACACACACTTGATAAGAGATATGCCTAAACAACTTCCAACACCAAACTCATTAATTTATCTTTAACTGGATGCATGTCCAGTCATTATTCCCAAGAGACAAATGAAATTACATTATCTTCTGTGCAATGTAAAAACTGTTTTTAACACTTGATGTTTCTTTTTTTTAAGTTTTTATGAGTAGTTTTAAGCTGTAGTTCATGTTTTTGTACAGATATTCTAGATTCTATGTCTCAAACCTTATACATGAGCCCAAAATGAACAAGTCAATTAAAATTTTAAAAAAACCTGTAAAATGCAGAAAAATGAACAAAAAGAGTTGAAAATTCCAGGTGCACAACTTCATATGGTGAATAATAATTGTACAAATTTTCAGATTAATCCTTGCAATAGTTTCTGAGAAACGGTCCAAACAAAACCCCAAAATAAAAATGAAAAAACACCTGTAAAATTCAAAATAATAATCCAATCAAGATGAAAAATATCAGGTGCACAACTTCATATGGTGAATAAAATGTGTACAAATTTTCAGACAAATCCTTCCAATAGTTTCTGAGTAATGGTCCGGACAAAGTCTCGTCTACGGACATGGTGATTCCAATATACCCCCCCTAAACCTCGTTTGCGGGGGGTATAATTAACCCCCCACGAAAATCTGTGATTTCACAGTATTTAAATCACACAAACAAACATTGATAACACAGTAGTTAGTAGCGTTTAGTGGTTAACGCGGTCAGTCTTGCGCAAAATCCTGCGCTATGGAGAGTGTTCGAATCATACATGAAGCTTTTTTTTTTTTTTTTTTTTTTGCTTTCAAATATCTTAAAACATGGGTGAAAAATGAATTATTAATAAAATATGAAGACAATAAAATACGGAATTAAAGATTATATTAACCATATAAATAAAGCTTTCATGAACTTTTACATTCGAGACATGTCTTTTCTCAGAACGGGGCATTAGCATCGCCTTGTACGCCTCCATTCTTCCTGGTCCAATTAAACTTTAATGAAATATATATATGTAGATAATGTACAGTATCCAAGCTCAAAATTTCAAAATTATGGCACGCCAAATTCACAAAAATGAGCTTAACATAGTTTTACAGTTGATAAACTAGGTTTATCGACTGTAAACTATAGTTTACAAACCGTGAACTATAGTTAACAATTCGTTAACTATAGTTTTCATCTGTAAAACTATATTTAACGGTTTGTTAACTATAGTTTAATGCTAATCTAAGTTTATATGTCTGTAATAATAGGTTAACAATAAACTTTGTTCATAAACATAGATTCACGTCTGTAAACTACAATTTACAATCGTGAACTAAAGTTAAGGGTTGTTAATCATAGTTTCACAAATTGTGAAACTTTTTTTATCAGATCGTTAACTATAGTACGAGTTGTAAACCATAGTTTACAAATCGTGAAACTGTATTTTTCAAATAATCTATGCTTTGCGATCGCAAATGATTGTTTTCAGTGTTAAGTATAGTTTACGGTTCTGAAACATAGATTATCGCGTTAACTATGGTTTACAAATGTAAAATATAGATTAACGTTTTTAACTATATTATAGTTTACAGTCCGTAAACTATAGTTCACAACCGATAAACCTAGTTTATCAAGTGTGAAACTATGTTTGGCTCATTTTTGTGAATTTGGCGTGCCATAAATATGATTATAATGGCAGTGTCCATGTTTTGCTATGGAAAACCCAAAATATGTGTCGGATCAAAAAGTAAAATGGAATGGCACAATGGCAATATGTAATTAAGATTCTGTGAAAGTCTCATCAAATTTCATTCAGTGGTATGAGAGAGTTACAGATAAGAGATGGGTACCAAAGCGTAACAGACCGACGGACGGACATCCCGATTACTATACATGTATACCCTCCCATTTTTCAAGCGGTACAATGAACAGATATTTTGGAGCAGAGCATGCACGAACATCTGAAACATAAGAGATGGGATCAGGTTCCATGGAGGAGTGAGCATCCTCTACTGACCGGTCACACCCACCGTGTACTCCGTGTCATAATCAGGAAATAAAGAATAAAATCTGTCAACTATTCAGTGTGTACTAGTATATAATGGTCTAACAATTAGTACGTTCAGTTGACATTTGACTTAATAATAGACTGTATCACTTACAAGGTCATTGTATCGACCATAGAACTTTGGAAATGATAACTTTAAACACGACTGATATCGTTTTATCAATTTAATTGTTTAGAGGCCCTTGGGCTACATTGCTTACCTGAGTAAATTTGGCCATGCTGTTCTTCGTCCGAGTTCCCCCTTGTAATACCTATTGTAACCCCATCCTACTATCAGGGTTCATGATTTATACAATTTTATTAGAATCTGACTTACCCTAGGATAACCTTCCATGAATACAAGCTTCACCTTTTCTGGCCTAGTGGTTCGTGAGGAGAAGATTTTTCCCGACATATTTTACTTTTAAACTTGGATTCCCTATTGTAGCCCTGTCCTGTCCCCTGGGGTCATGATTTGAACAATTTAGAATCTACACTACCCCAGGACCTCTTAGCTCTGGACAGTATAAAGCTTGCAGACCATTCTGCCTTAAACTCGACAGAAGTGTGAAGAGAATTGGAGAATAAGTTTGAAGAATTAAGTCAAAAAAATCATGATTCAATTTGTTATTTCTCTTCATCGAAAAAACCACTAAAATGCAAAATCCAGCAAAGAGTAACAGGGTAGAAGGATTTGACTTCATACAGATGCAACATGAACCTCCTCTCTAAATAATTTAATTTCAGTTGTAACGCGTTTATGGCACGCCAAATTCACAAAAATGAGATAAACCTAGTTTCACAATTAATAAACTAGGTTTATCGACTGTAAACTATAGTTTACAAACCGTTAACTATAGTTAACGATTCGTAAACTATAGTTAACAATTCGTTAAGTATAGTTTTCATCTGTAAAACTATATTTAACGGTCGTTAACTATAGTTTACGAAAGCTAATCTAAGTTTATCTGTCTGAATAAAGCGTTAACAATAGATTTTGTTGATAAACATAGATTCACGTTTATAAACTATAGTTTACAATCGTAAACTATAGTTAAGAGTTGTTAATCATAGTTTCACAAATCGTAAAACTATATTTATCAGATCGTTAACTATAGTTAACGGTTTGTAAACTATAGTTTAGAAATCGTGAAACTGTATTTTTCAGATAATCTATGCTTTGCGATCGCAAATGATTGTTTTCAGTGTTAAGTATAGTTTACAGTTCTGAAACATAGATTATCGCATTAACTATAGTTTACAGATGTAAAATATAGATTAACGTTGTTAACTATAGTTTACAGTCTGTAAACTATAGTTTACAACCGATAAACTTAGTTTATCGATTGTGAAACTATGATTATCTCATTTTTGTGAATTTGGCGTGCCATACGCGTTATTTGATTGGTTAAATGGTATTATCCATTTCGTATAACATAACTTGCCTACAACACAATGAGTTACATCAAAAACGTATCACTCCGCTTGACGTTACATTTAAAATAATGCTCACTTTGAAGCCCTTTCCTGGAGGAAATATTGTCTCATTGTCTACATTGAAATTAAATTATAAGAAATGAAGATTATTTCAACTTATGTTATCTGATATAACAAAACTTGGGGCAGTTTACACTTATCTATAAACCGCTTCGCGGTTTATAAAGCGTAAACTGCCCCAAGTTATATTATATCAGATAACATAAGTTGAAATAAGCTTCATTCCTTAAATAATCTTTCAAAGTAAACAATTAAGGAAACCTCAAAAAATTCTTTCAGCATAAGAATCAAGTTTCCACTCTTTAGAGGCTATAGCCTGATCTTACAGTGTACCTTATAAATATTCTTTCCATATATATATATATATGTATTTAGATTTCACCCAAGGTCAACATGCCCCAAAATTTATTTTTACAATAGCTCCAAAACTATTATAGTTTATAAAGCTAAAACTTTTACAGTTTATGAATATATCATTGATTAACAGAAAGAAAGTATAACTTGATAACAAATGCTTAAATAAAATATTTATAGAGAAAAATTCTTTTAAAACAGGCACGTAGCAAACTTTTTTCCCCAACATTACCTTTACTATAGAAAATGTACATTGAAAAGATGGTTGCCCCCCCCCCCCCCCCCCACTTTGCACCACAGTTTATTTATAAGAAGGAAATATAGGAAGAAATTGGAAGTGAAAGGAAGTTGGCCTTGAAAAACTTTTACAGTTTATGAATATATCATTGATTAACAGAAAGAAAGTATAACTTGATAACAAATGCTTAAATAAAATATTTATAGAGAAAAATTCTTTTAAAACAGGCACGTAGCAACAGGGGGGCCAGGGGGGGCCTGGCCCCCCCCCCCCACTTTTTTTCCCAACATTACCTTTACTATAGAAAATGTACATTGAAAAGATGGTTGCCCCCCCCCCACTTTGCACCACAGTTTATTTATAAGAAGGAAATATAGGAAGAAATTGGAAGTGAAAGGAAGTTGGCCTTGAAAAACTTTTACAGTTTATGAATATATCATTGATTAACAGAAAGAAAGTATAACTTGATAACAAATGCTTAAATAAAATATTTATAGAGAAAAATTCTTTTAAAACAGGCACGTAGCAACAGGGGGGGGGGGGGGGGGGGCCAGGGGGGGCCTGGCCCCCCCCCCCACTTTTTTTCCCAACATTACCTTTACTATAGAAAATGTACATTGAAAAGATGGTTGCCCCCCCCCCACTTTGCACCACAGTTTATTTATAAGAAGGAAATATAGGAAGAAATTGGAAGTGAAAGGAAGTTGGCCTTGAAAAAAGTTGGTCACTACCCCCCCCCCTCCCCCCCCCCCCCCCCCCCCCCCAAATTTTTTTACAAAATTTTAATTTAATTTCAAATTGTAACTTATTTTGTTTGGTTTCCCCCCCCCCCCCCCCCCCCCCCACGAAATAGGACTTTCGAGTTTGGGCAATTTTTAATTTTCGTTTTTTTTTTTTTCGTTTCTTTTTTTTTTGCTTGTCAACTTCTTTTTAGGGTAGTAAAAAAAATTTTCTCAGGTTGGCCCCCCCCACTTTCAAAAACGATGTTACGTGCCTGTAAAACTAGAGGTACTCTGAGCAATGAGCTCAATAAATGATACCCCTACCTCCCATATGAATACATTATAAAGGTAGTGTCCATGTTTTGCTGTGGGAAACCCAAAATGTGTCGGATCAAAAAGTAAAATAGGAGATGCACAATGACAATATGTAATAAACATTCTAAGAAAGTCTCACCAATTTTATTCAGCTGTATGAGGAGTTGCAGAGAAATGATGGGTACCCCAAAGCGTAACAGACGAACAACCCGTTAACTATATACCCTCCCGTTTTTCAAGCGGGGGCATCATTGCAGAAACAATATATGTTGATCAATGAAGGGCAAGTAGGACTTGGATAGCCTTTGGAAAGTTGTTTTCCCTGTTTATTTAGTCCAATTGTTAAACTTGAAACTGAAAGTACAATGCAAATGGCGGATTTTATAGGGGTCTTATTTTTTTTTTAAACATAATAGCCTTTCAGAGACCAATCAAGTCAAACTTGCCCTTAGTTGATAAACATATATTTCTACAATGATGGTTTTCAGTAGAAGTACAGCATTAAACAGGTGCATTTTTTTGAAAATATGCAAAAAAATTTATATATTTTTTCTCAAAAAATATATTTCTTAATTCTTAAAATATTTGTTTTCAAATGATACTTTCTATCATTCTGTTAATCAATGATATACTTATACACTATAAAATTTTTAACAATATAAACCACATAGTTATGGAGCTATTGTAAAAATAAATTTTTGGATACACTGGCCTTTAGTGGATCCCAAACAATAATTACAAGCATTTAAAAGTTTAGAATCACAGATTCTGACAAATGCACTCTCACAGAGCCATATAACCAGATAAAACAACATGATTTACACTGTGACATCTCTTTATTCACAGACACTGGGTTATAATTTACTTCAGCTTCTTCTTGGGTCTGATGTTGTTTGTGTGTCCACACTTCCTCTTACGACAGTTAGTGGCCCTGGCGTGAAGACGCGCATAGCATCTGTTGACAAAAATAAATACGAATATTTAAAACTTGCTATTCTAAATTTTGACAAGAGGCCCATGGGCCTTATAGGTCACCCGAGTATTGTGCAACAACTTTCAAATATTAAATTTGGTTCCTGTTTTAAAGCAGAGGCCATGAAATTCGCAATTCACAATTTTGAAAGAGGCACCATTGCTTATCATAATTATAGACTTAGCATGCTTACTTTATTTACTTGATACCAAAAGGTAGATCAGAGTAACAAAGAGAAAATGCCTTTCCGCTTTATAACTAGTTGTGCACATCATCCCAAAGGAACCACTGACCTTGGGGCCACATATGTCAAAATTTTGCAAATTTAATCATAAAATGGTTGATTAATACCAAAGAGCAGATTTCAAAGCATTAATTTATTTTCAGACTATGTACCCCCCCCCCCCACCCCTCAACCCAGGAGGGGGGGGGGGGCATAAAAAAATAACCATTTTGCTAGATGCACCTTTCTTCATCATAAATATATATTCTTAGATCATTGGCATAAAACCCAGGAGCAAAGAAGAAGGTTTTCAAAGAATTAATTTATTTTCACTATATAATCAATAGAGCCCCGCCCTAACACCAGAACCCCTGACCCTGGGGCCACAAAATTCACAATTTTGGAAGAAGCACTCTTGCTTATCATAACTATGTACTTACTTAGTTTATTTAATACCCAGGTGCAGAGAAGAATATTTTCAAAGAATTAATGCATTTTCACTATATAATCAATAGGGCCCCGCCCTAACACCAGAACCCCTGACCCTGGGGCCACAAAATTCACAATTTTGGAAGAGGCTATTGCTCATCATAACTATGTACTTAGTTAGTTTATTTAATACCCAGAATCAGAGAAGAAGATTTTCAAAGAATAAATGCATTTTCACTATATAACCAATAGTGCCCCGCCCTAAACCCAGAACCCCTGACCCTGGGGCCATAAAATTCACAATTTTGGAAGAGGCACTCTTGCTCATCATAATTATATACTTAGTTAGTTTACTTAATACCCAGGAGCAGAGAAGAAGATTTTCAAAGAATAAATGCATTTTCACTATATAATCTATATAGCCCCGCCCTAGCACTAGAACCCCTGACCCTGGGGCCGTGAATTTCACAATTTTGATAGAGGACTCAATGCTCATTACATTCATGCCAACAGTTTGCCTGCTTGATGTCCAGGAGTAAAGAAAAAGATTTTTAAAGATTGCAATAATTTTAGTGGTTTTGGCCCCACCCCTCAGGCCCCAGGGGGGCGGGGACCATAAAATTCACAAATTTTGTTCCCCTTCACCCATAGATGCTGTATACCAAATTTGGTTGAAATTGGTTCAGTGGTTTCAGAGAAGAAGCTGAAAATGTTCAAATGTTAACACACGACGACGGACGAAAACGGATAGCAATAGGTCACCTGAGTTACTCAGGTGACCTAAAAATATTTTCCATTGAAAACATTACATCTAAAATAAACAAATATGTTCAAAAGTTTTAAAAAATGCAAAAAGTTTTCAATTGTTTTTAAGTATATTGTTTAAAATAGCTTACTTTCTGCAAATCATCTTGTCACAGTTGTACTTAGAAGCCAATATTCTCAAACTGGGCTCAATGATCCCTCCTCTAAGTCTGAGTACCAGGTGAAGAGTGGACTCTGGAAGGATAAAATATCAATGTTAATGTGATGCTCTGTACTGGAAAAGCAGTAAAAAAAAATACTCATCACTTTTTCCCCAATCAAATCCTGTTTTATTTTTTCCCTATTAGCTGAATCAGATGTGGACACAAACATGGCCCAGAACGAATGCCTCAGTCAGGATGTACTCAGAGAGGGCAAGTTCTCTTCATCATTACAGCTGATCCTTAGCAACAATTTGTAATCCATAAACCTAGCATTACCATACACTGAATGCTTTTGTTTTTGAACTCAATTAGTGTTATTCAACTTAAATGCAAAAACTCATCATTATTTTGAATCGAGATAAATTGCACTTCATAAGTTTTTCTTTCTTTTTTGTATTTAATATACATTTCTGCATAGTGGAAATTTTATGTTTTTCCTTTCTATGACAAAACACGTAATCTTTAAACTAATTTTACCGCAAACAAAGTTAACACATCACTCACTAAGTCATTCAGAGTTCTTGAAATCTTTTTTTCACTGTCAGTCATTTGGACCGACTGCCATGTATAGTTTGTCAGTCCAGACAGATTTCTACCAGTCCACAATAAATTCAATAAAAACATGAAAATTGTATTTTAATTTTTATATCAATAAACACGGCGTCTATAAACAATGCACACTTCTTACCCTAGCGCCGTCAACAAACTTGTTTTAACAGTTTACCAATCATAGTTACTGTAATAGTTTGGCACTAGTTAGAATTATCTGTATCTCGGAAATAAATAATTGCAGAATCGCTCCAAAAACGCATTTGAAGTATACAAAAGGATTTGCACTGGAAATAACTTCAAAATCAATTACAACAAACCTTTTTTAGGTCGCGTATGCCTTTAAACCTAAAAATTGATCTAAATAAAGACGATAATTCAACTAATTTTCTTTACGTTTTTTCTCGCTTCAAATTTACACGCCATGTTTGCATTCGGAACTCTCTGGAAACTTCGTAGTAAATTTAATATACTGAGTTCGAGATATTGCCCGTGTTTATTTTGCTACATAGTTAAGAATTATGGTTAGAACGGCACTTAGTGAAAATGGCACCTGATGAAAACGGCACCTGGAATATGCAAAACGGCACTTGGTTAAAACGGCACTTAGTGAAAACGGCACTTGGTTAAAACGGCACTTAGAGAAAAAAGTATATAATAGTGTTATGATATATATTTCACATAAGTTCTTTTTAAGTCAAAATTTAATTTACTGACTTTAGAATTTTTTGTGGCTTCAATTTTGCTTTATTTTCAATCTATTTTTAAAGGTAGTATTTTTAAGCTATAACACAACAATATGTGGGATTTAGAATAATTATATTTGTAGTGTAGTGTTGATAATATGAAAAAAGAAATGGTGTAAATGATTTAAAAAAAAAAAATATTTACAGTAAGAGTCACTTTATCTCACATTTCTATCTAATTCTGTAGAAATTATTTTAACAATATCAACATTGTATATCTTCATTATAAAAAAAACAAATGTTTTGTTCTTGGATGTACATGTTTATTATATTATTAAATGTTGTATGGCTACTCATATTTTATGTACAGTTGCGAGAGGATTATCTAAGTTTTTCTAACTTGTGTACAATCCATTTGACATTTTGTCGAGAAATACACAATAGTAGCTGTATATGATCGCAAATTGATGATCAACAGATTATTGAAGGGGAGGTGTGAAATGGTCTTTTGTTTCCTAAACCTACAAGTGCATTCTTAGTAAACATACTCTAACTGGCTTCTAATTAGTCAACTGTGACTGGCAACCCCCAAAACAGAGTAGTATACATATTTGCAACACTATAATTTTTTTAATTTCAAAGGATCATAATAATATAATTGGGATTTGATCTCTTTTGTAGTAAATAAATATATATGATTTAAAATATAAATACATTTTAAAAATCTATCCCCTGTACAAAAGTATAATAATTTTCAAATGAATCAGTTTAATTTTTTTTAAAATATTTTTTAAACTTTTTATCAATAATAATATACACATTTATTACTATAAATGTAACATAAAGATCCATTTTCTGTATAAACAATATCAAATTCTCAAAATAAAGAAAGTGCCGTTCTGACTTTTCTAAAGTGCCGTTTTGACTACTCTCAAGTGCCGTTTTGCATATTTCCTAAGTGCCGTTTTCACCAGGTGCCGTTTTGACTTGTACCCCATAGTGAATATACGGAACAAATTCTATCATTAAACCGGGTCCGTAGGACATTTATCATTTTAACGATAGAACATTCTCTCTAAATTGGCACTTGTATTAATCGAGAAGCCATTGCAAGATGCAGAAAAGCTTTTGAAAGATTACGATCGCTCGATTTAGTAAGATTTTCGCAAGTTCCTTTGTCAACACCGTCCGGTCATTTGGACTGACAAAGAACGCAAAGTAATCGGTCCTTGGCTGTTTTTATCGGTTTTGCCGACAGGACCGACAGATTTCAAGAACTCTGGTCCTTCTTTAAATTTGACACGATATAAACAATCCTAATTAGAAAGTAATACTATTACATGAAGATACATGTATCTGTAACTTTTTGACCCCCCTTCTAAATTAAGGACTTAGATTCAGAATATGTGGGCAGCAAAAGGAAAAATCCTTCTTTATTCTTACAAAAATCTTTCTTTTTTTTTCTTTCTTAATAAAGCTGAATCAGATGTGGACACAAACACGGCCCAGAACGAATGCCTCAGTCAGGATGTACTCAGAGAGGGCAAGTTCTCTTCATCATTACAGCTGATCCTTAGCAACAATTTGTAATCCATAAACCTAGCATTATGCTACACCAAAGGTAAAATTTTTTAGCTTTCTTTAATTCAACTAAAATGTAAAAACTACCTCTGTTCTATTAAATTAGATGAACAGCACTTCATAGATTTCTCATTTTTTAAAAAATATGTATTCTATATTTTTTTCTGTGTAGGGGTAATTTATGCTTTTTATCTATCATCAAACGCAATATTTTGCAATTTAATGTTAATGTTAATGCAAGCAAGAGATGTTCATGACACACCACTTATGCCCCATTTTCCAAGTCCAAGCAGCATAACTCTGTCAAAAATTTCTTGAAAGCACCAAAAAATAGCATTTGACCTAGATATTCCTATGATACATCTATATACCAAATTTCATTTCATTATGTGCAACATCTTTTCAGAAAGTGAAAGGAAACTGTTGGTGGACCAACAGACGCACCAGCTGACAGACAGCAACAAAGCAATATTCTCTCCCTTCATTGAAGGGGGCATAAAAGTTTTTTAACATCACTCATAAAGCATTTCTTCAAATTTCTTTGCACAAGCAACACAAGTTACTATAAATAATTCTAATTTGAGGAGATGAAATTTTAATCAAAACATATCTAAAACTTCAGGAAATCACACATACACCTCCATTTAGAATTAAGATTTATAATCTAAAAGGGGTATCCAAAAAAATTTTAAGAGGTGTATACTGTTTCTTTAACATCATTACTACAATCTTCATATTTTTTCATTTCAAGGTTTCTTGGTTATTGGCTGAATCAGATGTGGACACTAACACGGCCCAGAACGAATGCCTCAGTCAGGATGTACTCAGAGAGGGCAAGTTCTCTTCATCATTACAGCTGATCCTTATATTTCTCCAGGAAGTCATGTATGCTTACCTTTCTGAATGTTATAGTCAGAGAGAGTACGTCCATCTTCCAACTGCTTCCCAGCAAAAATCAATCTCTGCTGGTCTGGGGGAATTCCTGTATAAGGAAAAGTTAAACATCTTGAGAGGTCAACGTTAGTGTCATGTACTAACTCAATATATTTATAGAACATCATAACAATTCTTCTGCAAGTTATTTTTTTTTTCGATTTATTATTCATTTCATCTTAGTTATTTGTTTTATTTAAATAATTTAGTTGATCTCTCATTTTACATTTCTTGACTTGTAATTGTGTTGATCTTCTTAGCTATAATTTATTCAGTTGATCTTCTTACCTTCCTTGTCCTGGATTTTAGCTTTGACATTTTCAATGGTGTCTGAGGGCTCCACCTCTAGGGTGATTGTTTTGCCCGTAAGGGTCTTAACGAAGATCTGCATGTCAGCTTCAGTATCTGCTAATTAATTAAATTCACATATTTTAACAAGTTTTATCTCAAATAATTCAGTGAGCAAAAGCATAAAAGCCCCCCCCCCTTCCTATTTTCCAAAACAAAACTTAAAATTCAATTTTTTTTCTCTAACATCCCTCTTTTCAAAACAATACTTCATGCCTGGGTTAATGTTTAAGCCTTTTAATATCTATTTCTTATTCTCAGTTTCTTACAAAAACTCCATGAAGTTTCTTACAAAAACTCCATGAAAATCTTTATCAGGTTTGACACAGACTACCAAATGGTATTTTAACCTGTTTGGTAGTCAATCATCCATAGTTGGGTTGGAATTTACTGACCAAATGGTGTTTTTTAATTCAAATCCAATTTTTCTTAATAAAAGAAAGCAAAGGCGCATTGGCATACCATCAGGAAATTTAAGTTACATTTTAACGTTCCTTGCACAATCATTTTCCATGTGTAATTTCTGTGAAGGTTTGTACAAATGATACCCACACCTGTCTGTGACAATTGAACTTCTTGATCAATTAATCAAAAAAATGTTTAAATCATAATCTTTTATGCTTGAGCATTCAGTATAAGAATAATGGCAAACACAAACCTTGAATCATGCAAACATGTAGATAGTGCAAAAGGACTGGATACCATATTTTTTCACCCCCACAAGTTAAAATTATGCATTAACAGTTATTTTACACCAATTAGAAGTGAACTGAATTTTTCTTTCCCAAATGATGAGTAGATACCCACTTCGATATGGCCTAATGCATACATGCCAACTTTCCCTATTTTTTCGGGAGTCTACAGTGATATTTCTACACCCAATTTAGGTCCGAATATCGGCCCTTTCCCCTCTCAAAAATTACAGATTTTTTCCCAATTTCTGTTGCTTTTTTTACCAACACAAAACCGTTATTGTTTTTGTTATATTGATTTTTTTACGTACGAGTTATCTAAAATGGAACGCTATTGTTCTCAGTCACTAAGACTCTTAAAATAACAGTAAAGAACAGCAGATCACTCTAAGCGTTTACAAGACCTAGAAAAACACATGGGTCTCCTTGTCAAACTTGTGTGTAAGATGCATGTTAACCGGCGAAACATAGCTTTATTTGTAAATCCAAGTACTAACAGTTCTACAAGAAGCATCCCCGATTCCACGAAAATCAAACTGTTTCTACATCCGGCAGATGCAACTAGTATTGCAGAGAAAAATTGCAGCATTATATTTAGCTAGGGTAATTAGAAAGCTTAAATAATTACTTTGAAAAATAAATGATTTGAAATAAATCATGTCAGATTATTCGATCTTAAACATGGCTATTACAAGAAGGATTTTCTCTTATGTCCTCCATAATGTCGGAGCAAAAAAGGAAATACATGTATAGTTTTGTATACTGATATAAGATAATCACAATAACAACTTTCAAAGATTTTAAAAAAGGTTAAAAATATAGAACTGTGTTAATTTATCATTTTGTAGAAAATGAATTGATGAATGATGTTACATTTATTTACATAGTTTATTTTACCTGCCAATTAAGATTACATGACAATTTTTAGAATTTTTCCCAATTTGATACAAATGTCGACGATTTTTCCCAATTGTAAAGGCCCAGGCCCCTTTTAACAAATGTAGAAAAATCACTGGTCTACCAATTTTGAACCCTGTCTACTGTTTGTCTAACGATTTATCCCCCCCCCCCCTCCCAATTTCTACCGATTTCTCCAAAATCCAGATTTTTTACCGATTTGCTTTGAATAATACAGTATTTCTGTGTACAGAAAACATAGCTGTTTCAATCTTTATCGGTAGGATATCTGTTTATTGCCACTGATTACAGGTAATCAACAAGGTGTCAACTGTGCTACCAGTCATTACAGTGGTTTTAATTGCCCCTGATTCTCATTAACAGTGTATTTTAACCTAGACAGTTATGCCAGATGTGGAAATTTTAGAAATACACACGACAGGATACAAACTGACAAACTTGTGAGAGTTCACACTTTACAGCAAACTTTGACAATATATGTATAAACCGTTTATAAAAGGTTTCCAAGTTTTGGAAATATGGCATACCTCATTAAATTATGATCTACTTCATGGAAAAAAGACACTGCCAAAATCCAACATGAAAAGATGTGCAGAGTGCAAGTACAAACCATTAAGAGTGATTCAAAACATTTTAGAAAGGAAAAGACCACGTCTTTTGCAGACTTTGAATGACTTCTTAATATTTTGATCTTTAAAAAAATGATTATGTGTCTGTGACAGTAGCCTTATAAACTTTGTAATTTACCAACAGACATTGAAAAGTAACCACATGGTAACTGTATAAACTTAACTTGCTTCAGCGTATTTGTGAAGTTTAACATCCTTATTCATGTAATAATCTGTTTGCATACATGTTAACCTATTGTGATGAAAAATAGGGAGATTCAGACCTCAAAAGCGGTAGCATTGCGCGTGCGTTGTTTTACGCTTGGATTACTGACATATTTCAAGTAATATATACATGTATGTAGCCTTAAATGAAACCTACAAAGCCTTAAATGAAACCTACAATAAATAAAAATATCAACTGCAAAGAAGAAGACAGAAATACCTTAAGTTTGACATAAATTGTACAAATTCAAATATTTTTCATGCTCATCATTTTGCTTGGATTGGCTGTTTAACTTAGCCTTTTGAAGAGTGATCTTTGCCAATATAGCCTAGAAGCAATAATTCTGAATGTTCATTCAGTTGTAAAACAAAACAAATGATGGCATGGTTTAAACTATATCTAAAACAAGTTCCTATCTTTCGTTATATAAATCAGATTTCCCGCGATGATCGAAAACGAAAGTAGAGATGTGCCACATGGCTTGGTCAATCGAGTGATTTCTATTGACTTTATTGATAAAATTGTGAGCTCCTGTGCTTTTATAGACGATGCCAAACATTTTCATCTAATTATTAAAAGCTGTATCTCCTTTTTCATGGCAGTGATGTTTACTAAATTTATCGTAACCAATGTAATCACTGGTAATCTTGTGCTGTTGTCGTTGTCAAATTCGTGCTTGAAATCTATGTACACATCGATACAAAAAAAGCGTTTGTATGCTTCTGAGTCAAATCACGCGATATCTAACGAGATTTTATGAGAGTGGCTTCAAAAATGGATACCCAAGCGAACCAAAAATACTTTAGTAGTTTAGACGCAACTTTTGTAGAAAAGCGGTAGATTTCTGAATTAAATCGGTAGGCGGGAGATGGAGTGAAAAAGCGGTAGACTCCCGCCTAAATCGGTAGAGTTAACATGTATCGTCAGGGGTGTGCAATTAGAAAAATCAATAACTAGCCCACGGGCTAATGGCAGCTATAAAGCTACTAGCCCCAAGTGAAAAGTTACTAGCCCAAATATATGGGGCATTAACAATTAAAATAAAAAACTATACGTTGAAAAGATTTAATTGTTGAAAAAGTCAGGGTACTGAGGTCATTCTTTTAAAAATTAAAGTTTAATTCTCAATATGAAATTAAATCATGTATAAATTATAATAAAAGAAGAATAAAATGAATTTAAATAAATTAGCTTTCCTTCTGAACATTGCACTAGCTCATTTAAAATGAAATTTAATTCATTTTGTTTTCATCTTAAATCATTAAATACACTATAAATATATTTTATGTGAATCATAAAACACTTATCTTTCAGTTGATTGAGTGATCGTAAATAATTTAATGAGATATCTGCATGTATTTACCATAAACGAAAGAATAGAGGAAATTCGGATTAGGAAAAAACGATCGTTTTTGGAAGTAAATAAGTCAAGTGCTGCAAAACAGATAAGATTATGGAGATTTATTGAGAGTAGGAGCATGTTGTCAGAAAAATTTTCACTGGTTGGGAATTTGATAGCAAAAACGAGTGAAAATACAGGTTGTGCTTTTCATGTATTCCGTGTGTAGTTATAATTTTTACTAGCCCAACGGGCTACCTCCATGCAGAAAATCACTAGTCCGACCCCAAAAAGTGGTAGCCCCGGGCGTCGGGCGATGCACACCCCTGATGGTGTTTGTGTATCACATTTTTAAGGCAGGGGTATGTTTATCTGAATATTAACATATAAAATAATTTTGAATGAAATAGTCTTTTTTTTCATATTCAAATGATATTGTATTTGTGCTTTTGTTGAAGTTGATGGAGAAGAAAACACTTTTTGAAGTGGTGATAATACTGTACATGATACAAGGTAGTAGATTGATATTCAAAAAAAACCTTCAGTTATTTTTCACGACAAAATGCCGCAAAATAAGAACTTTGAAAAATGTCATTACACGCAATCTCCCCCAAGAAAATTTTCAAAAGTTAACAGGTATGTGTATGGGTGGTTGACCACCAAACGGGGGTATGGGTGGCAGTGATGGGCTTTGGGGGGTTGGGTTAAATCATCATTTTGGTGCCCAACCTGTTGATAGGCCTGAAAAATTGAACACCAGTCTTATTTGTAAAGAGGAAATTGACAGGAACTGGGTACGGTGTTTCGTGAAGTTCATTGCTGGGATTTATACCCGCTTTAGTCTTATTTCACTTTAACGTTAATTCCGACTTCTGTGGCATCAGAGACATACATAAATTATTTATGTCTCTGGTGGGATATAAAAAAAAAATCGGTCTGACGAATGCTAGGCTAAAACTGTGAGAAGATATGCTTTCTATTTAACTGTGTACACAATGTTGTTGAAAACTACCATCAAAACCTTCAATAAATAAAACCAACATATTGGTGACTTAGAAATAAACATTCAAGAGGCATTAAATTGCTCTGACTTTCCGTTCATTTAGCACGTGTGATGCAGCCATTACCTTAATTTTTTGGAAAAGACCGAGTGAGGGCGCTCGTGTAAAAATATACAATCTTACACGGTGCATGTCAAACTAATTTATTCCGAAAATCATGCTCACAGCTGAAATTATTTTGGTGAGATTTTTTTGACAAAGCAAATGTTAAAAGAATTTTTATTTGGTGAAAAATGAAATAAGGATATTATAGAGCAATGTAGTTTTTTAATATTACATTCATAACTAAACCGGAATTTCTGACTGGTCGTTATCTTTTTTCTTTTACAACTCTCATTGAATGTCCGATGTAATGACACATGGTTGGAAAATATTTCATATTCCAATATTCGAGAATATTCAAAGTATACAAAGGGTCTGGTTCGTTTTTGTGAGTACCGATAGTCTACTCTACATACACATAACGAAACCTTAGAGCTGTGGGTAAACTATTATTCTATTCTTATCGATTTTTCAGAAAGGTGCATACTTATTGACAATATTCTTACTCAATACACTTAAAAATGGACTTGATTTTTAACCAATAGGAGTTTAAAAGAAATATTTTTAACAATTATTTTGTATGACTTGATCTTATAAAGATACTTTTAGTAGGGACAAAGTTGTCCTATATCTTGATTAAGTGCCGAGGGAGACCCACTAGGCCACTGTGCATTGACTAAATTTTGACTTTTTTAAATTATCTCTTCATTTTAATTGGATAGTGTTTTTAAAATATTTACATATGTTGTGTTTTTCTAAGCCAACCTTCAAATGATTTGAATACCATTTTCGTGTTACTGTAAAAACATGCACGGAGAAACTTGCGTTAAGGTGATGTCACTGTGTGAGTGAGGCTACAGAGACATGCAGAAATATGTAACAATATAGGGCAGCAAGAAATTCAAATATTTACTAGTATATTTTTGGTTCCTTTAAACATGTTAAATGTCAATATGAAGATTATTTTTAAGTTAAATGTGAATTATTGGTGTGCAAATCACACAGACTTGCAGGTAGGCATATTTTTCCTGACACCTGCTATATCTACATGACATGTCTTCTGTGTGATTTACACACCAAAAACACACAAAACTTAAAAACATTCCTTGATTTATGTCTTATGAGTATATTTTTTTTTTTCAAATCTAACAGTTTAAAGGTAGAAACATATTTTTAATCTTGGTTTAGAGCTGTAAGGTAAATAAAGAGCTACTATACAAGAAATTATATTTCAAAGTTGTGTCTTTAAAAGACTTTGAAATTAAAAAGGAAAGCCTACATGCCTACCACAATTTGTCTATGGACCCTTATAAATATAATTGTATATAAGCATATTTTTAGGCCTTCTTTAGACTTGAAAGACAAGACACACACTGTCTATCACCAGTATGTCATCAGAAGCCACCAATAAACCCTTGTATCGAGACATCAACGCAGATGATGAAGATCCAGAAATAATGGAAATTGAAAGTTACTGTGTAAATTGTGAAAAGAACGTAAGTATTCCTATTTAATGAGTTATAAACGACATATCTGATTTCTCCTGCACTATAAAAATTCATACTCTGATATTGCAGGGAATAACTCGGCTGTTTTTGACAAGGATCCCATTCTTTAAAGATGTGGTGGTTTCCTCCTTTACCTGTGATAACTGTGGTCTCCACAACACAGAGCTCCAGCCCGCAAATAAAATCCAGGAGAAAGGCGTCAAATATGTCTGCACAATTAACAATAGCAAGGTCAATCTCACTATAAAATCCTATAATCACCAGTGTCTTTTCCAAAAAATTATTAAGAGAGAACAGAATGTATTGTCTATTGTTAAGGAATCAGTTTGTATTTTTTATTATTTTTCTTTTCATTAAAAATACACAAACACGCCTATTTATTCATTATGCAAATCTTTCAGGATTTAAACCGACAAGTTGTACAGACAAATCTTGCAACAATATCCATTCCAAAGTTAGAATTTGAGTCTCCACCAAACAAAGGAGGTAAGCATGTTGTCAATGGAGTTATCAAAAATAAATTACATGTATTTATTTATATCTCCTTTATATTTTGTACTATCTCTTAATGAATTCATGAATCCTACACTGGTTAGAATCAGTTTCAAAGGCATCTTCTGTCAAAGATTTCTTAAGCAGCGGATCCCTCCAACAATGAATTGTACCCCAAGATAGGTAGAACAATGATAGTTATATATATTATACAATAATTTACACACACTTAAGTTATTGGATTATTTATACAGACATAGATATAAACTGTAAAATTTTTTTGTTTGTTTGTAATGTGACATATATGGTAACATTGTAAACATCACAATTTTTTTTTTTACATAAATCATAATCCACTTAAGCTGTTTATATAATTTATCTGCAGAAGTTGCAATAGAGAGGGTTTAGGCCCCTAGAATTTTCAGAGTTACCAGAATTAGAATTTTAAATATTTTAAAAGCAAATGTGAAATAAAAATGACCTAGATCCCTGTAAAAAAAACAGACTCCTCTGAAATAGGAAGGAGAGTCATTTATTTGAGTAAAATTTTAAGGAAATTTTCTTTCAGTTCTAACAACTGTTGAGGGTATAATAGACCGGGCTGTGGAGGGTCTTTCCCAGGATCAACCTGTCCGTAAAGTGAGTACAACATTAAATACAGTATGATTTAAACAAACTTAAATCTATTCTATTCGTAAAGGTAAGTATTGAGGAGAACATCAAATACAACATATTTTGAACAAACAAATCTTAATTCGGTAATGGTACAGAGGTTCTTCAGGAGAAATTTTAAAGACCCAATCTACCAAATTTCAATATTTCTTAATTATCTCCAAGATGTTTACATGATCTATCAATGTCATTTGAAATATATGCTAATCTTTTCCTCTAGTTTAAGAGAAAAATATTACCCAGTAAATTAAAAGTAGAATAAAAGGAAATCTTCCTTATTAAATCTGCTATAATGCTGTCTGTGCATATCATGTGAGGCTTTTTTTACCCTCTAGATTCAGCATCCAGAAATGGCAGAACAGATTGGTGCCTTTATAGAGAAACTAAAGGAACTGAAAGAAGTCAAGGAACCATTTCAAATTGTAAGTTTGTTAAAAATAAAGAAATTAATTTAATGTTAAGTGTTAAACAAATTCTGCCTTCTATTAAGAAGCTTCTATAATGAACTTTAATTTGAAGTCATGCTGCAAATGTTTGATAATTTCCAAAGCAGCTTCTACTTGCATTAACAAAGTTTTACATGAGGAAAATATGTAACAATATGTAATACGTATATGTAAGCAAATGGGGATCACACCCTCTTCTATCATTTCTCGAGATAACATCATCTCTTGGTAGTAATGGAGAAGGAGAAACAACTGTTACTGTTTAAACGAAAATCAAAATGTCCAGAAAATGAAATTATTTTTATACAAATGCATGTATCTAATATTTCAGATTTTGGATGATCCCAGTGGAAACAGCTTCATTGAGAATCCATATCCTTTGTATATGAGTTCTATTTCATCTTCATGTTAACTTATTATAGAAATAGTTTCTGTTAAGTTGATAAATAAATAACAAGCATTTTAAACACGAAGAGTTTGTGTTCCTTAACATGTTTTACGTACGCACCTAACAAAGACAAGGACATGACCATTCATCACTACGTCAGGACTCGAGCACAGGACCAACAGCTGGGGTTACTGGAGGTGAGGAAACCTTAGGATAGGATCTTAAAAATCTTCTTCTTAAGGAAAGCAAGGCTATAATTAATTATATTACTAGGAATTTGCAAGCATCTTGAAGTAGTGCAGACCAAATTTTGTTAAAATCAGCAGGCTTATGATAGCTAATTAATATGGTAGCACAGTAGCACACAAAAGAAGTATAGAGAAGACCTCTGAATCAAGGGATGGTGAACATTTTGTGTAGGAATAAATAAGATGTTTCCTCTGAAGAACTAAAGCTATTACTAACATTATCATAAATTTACCAACAAACTCAGGAATAATGAGAAAAAAATTAAGAATCCTCTCATGAAAAGAATGGTCAGTGTGGCTCACCTGAGCATTATGACCCCATGGTCCTCTAGGTTACTTTTTGAAAAATAATAATACTCTTTATTTGATAATGTTATAGTTTAATTTCATGTAAATTTTCAGCAAGAAAACATTGAGGCAGAGCCTGAAGAAGAAGAAAAGAAGGAAGAAAAGAAAGAAGAAGTCAAGAAAGAAGAAATATTTGATGGCAAAACTGAGGTGAATCCTTACAGAACATCTGATGTGTGTGATAATGATGTTGACAATGTTCCAGTTACAAAAAGGATCAGATTATTTACTATTCCATCTTGAGGATATTTAAAGAGTTTTTATTTTGTACAGTATATAATTGAGAATGTTGTTCACAAAGTATAAAATGTCCATGTTAATGTTTAAATACATGTTACGATTTTAGGTGGCAAGTTTCAGGACTAACTGCCCAGAATGTAATGTGCCATGTGATACAAATATGAAACTAGTTGGTATCCTTTTTATGTCATTAAGTGAAACAAAGAAAATGAATTTCCTAACCAAGGTAAAAATCACCACAGAGTACAAATATTCTAGATATATATTTGATCCAAATGGGTTCACTATTTACCTTTTTGTCATATGTACATAGTTGATCCAAGTTGTGTCACAAATTACCTTTTGCTTAACATGTAAGATATTCCCCATTTCAAAGAGGTGGTGATCATGGCTACCACGTGTGATAGCTGTGGTCACAAAGATAATGAAGTGAAGGGAGGATCAGGAATCGAACCCAAGGGAACCAGAATCACATTGAAAATCACCGACCAGTCCGACATGTCCAGAGATGTCTTAAAGGTAACAAATTCTGAATATTTGGTCATGGTAAGAATCAATGCTTGAAAATTGACATTTTTTTGTATCTTTATCTCCGTACGAATGCTGTAGAAATGTTGCACTTTTTCAACAAAAGAAGAAAATTGATTATCATATTCAGTAAAAGTTGCTACAAGTAAAGTGGGTTACTGTACATTAGGCTGTGTATTAATTCATTTTACTTTTTGCAGAAAACAGCTTCTGCTCAATCCCGTACATGTCTTATATATATTCATATAAAGAACATTCAGAAAGCACTAAATAAAATCTCTGCTTGCTTGTTTAGAAGTCAGTTTCATCCTAATGTCATGCATTTGAAATAATATTGAGCTAGGTGAATGAAGCTATACAAAAAAGTATCGTAGAAAATACAGTTCTTTACAAAAAGTAAATGTATTGGAAACTTTAAAATCAGTACTATTCATGAAGTTTAATTTTTGTTGTTTTCAAGGTATGAAAAAAAAACAACCAATTTTTTCCCCTACAAAATGCATCAATTAATATACTGAAGACGTCTTTAATTTCATGTGTCTAAAATTTCATGGTTTGTTAGAAAGTTACCTTTCACAGTGGTTTTAATTTCATGGTGAATTATTGATATATATCCAGGTGCTGTGTGTTTTTAGCTAAAAATGAAGTCAAATAATAATCACAGTGGTTGAAAGTTTATGGAAAATTCTTAAACTGTGAACGCAGTGAAATTAAAAACACTGAAATGCATTCCACTTCTGCAGTATACCGGTATTTCAACTCTACATGTACATTTCTTAAACCAGGAAATCACATCCCAACAAATCAATATTTTTTTCCTTAAATGATTAAAGTTTGACCCCGTAAGAATTATCAAATGCATTGAGAATATCCACATATAAAATATAATTTATGTATTTCTTCGTTGATTAAAAGTATGTGGTTTATAAATGATTTTGACATTTGATGAACATCCTGTTTCACTGTAGAGTGACACAGCCTCTATGGCTATTCCGGAGCTGGACTTCGCAGCTGAGATGGGGACCCTGGGGGGAAAGTTCACGACCTTGGAGGGACTTCTGGTGGATATCAAAAGTCAGCTCAGTGGCTCCAATCCTTTTTTTAGTGGAGACAGCTCTGATAAACAGAGAGCCAAGAAAATCGAGACATTTTGCCAGGAAATAGAAAAGGTAGGAGTTATCTTTCTTCAAATATGCAGTTGATGTTTTAGTAAATGGCATCTTTAACATTTTAATTTTACTTTTTAAGTTCCTAAAGTCACTCATGTTACCTGTGGTTGTCTTGTTCACCATCATTTATTTCTGGACAATTCTGAACCTCTTCAGCTTCTCTAAACCTGCTTAAAAAACGAATAGAATTTTGCACCAGCTGACAACTGGGTAGAGCCCGGAACAAAAAATGTGAACTTCACGTCTAAAGTCTCCTATAGAAGAAAGGGACAAGTACAGGCTATTTGCAACCAGGCTGAAAATCACATTTTTCCCATTCATTTAGATTCGATGACCAACAGATTTTAATTGCATTGAACAAAAGAAAAGAAATAGACAATTATCGATAAAAGAAATAAAAAGAAACAATGACTGCTAGGGAATCAGTGTTCTATAAATGAAATAAAAACAACCTCCCTCTAAAATGTGTTCTAGCTTTAACAAATATTTGTAAGAAAATGAAATTCTATGTAAAATTTTGATTTTATTTGAAGGTTTGATAAATTCATATTGCAACAATACAGATTTGATTACAAATCATCAAATTTATTGATAAAGTTTAACTCTTGCACCAAGAGGTTTGTGATCTTTAAAGAGTTACCTTGCATTTAAAAATCAAACAATATTTAAAGTTTTGCTTATATATGTATATTGGTAAATTTGATATAATTCATGTGGAAAATTTTTATTAAGATTACATGCAAATCTTATTCCCAAAGGAATCAAGACACATACAATTCTATTTACTTATTTAATTGCTCATTGGAATCCAATTTCAGTAAATGGTTTGCAATATAAAGATGGAAAGTGGAAAATGAGAATTTTTTTTTTCATACTGCCTTAAAGTTCAAAAGTGAAAAAAGAAAAGAAAACAGAAAAAATTGGTGAATACATTCCCAACTAGATGTAGGGAAAAACAGTTTCCTTTGAGTCCTTATTCCCGTAGAATTGTTAATAAAGCCAATCTGGAGGCATTGTTTCTGGCTGAGACACTTGATCAATTTGTGGCTTACTTCAGAACATTAGTGCCGTCTTAAAACACTCTGGGCTGTTTTACATAAACGTTAGCTTGTCCGTGTTTTTTCCTGAATATTTTTCAATCTAACTTTAAAAAATACTTTCTATGTGATGTAAAATTTATAGACATGGATTAAAAAGCTAAATAACTCCTGGTTAGTATCTTTCGGTATGACAGATTTATTAAACTGGCATATTACAGCAAATTGCAGTTTTCATGCATTTCATATCAAATTATTGATTTTTGCGGAAGATGAATTTGATGTTCTATCAGTGTTTAACTGAAATAACATGTATTTATGACATTGTATTTTTATCCTAATTACACTGCGGTTATCGTTTACTAAGAATAAGCCTTGTCAAATGCCACGATAATTGTGAAGTTTTTAGCCTGTAGCAGCACATTTAACCTGGTTTGATTAGTAGGATTCTGCCTCTTTCTCATGCATGTAGGATGTGTTTAGCCTAACTTTGTGTCTCTTTGTCATTTTGTTAGGAACAGGAATGAAATTCATAGGATTATAATGCTAGAAGTAATGAGAATGTATGACATCAGTGGTGTGGACAATATGTAAATAAAATTTTATGAAGCAAAAAAAAAAAAAAAAAAAAAAAAACCAAGATGCCTTTGTGAGACATTGAAACCCATAATTATGGCAGGTCAAGGCTAAAGTTTTTCAGTTGAAGGTAAACCTAGGCCAATAGGAAGCAATTTCAGTTTGAGGAGGGCATATATTTTCAGTGGAGGGCTCTATTAACTACCCAAAATTCCTTGACAAGCAAAAAAAAAAAAAAAAAAAAGTCATCACTGATCAGCCATTTTAATTGAGGTGACATGAGCATATAGTAACTATGTTTTTTACAGTATTACTACATTTTTTCTTTCGTATACTGTATGTTTTCTATAGTATACTATATATATGGCAAAATAACTGAGGGACACCCCCACCCCACCCAGGCTTCTATGGCCATGAAACTCTAAGGTCAAGACCAAGAAATTAAAAAAAAAAAATTGGTATGCAGAGAATGGTCATGTCATAAGGAATGAACAAGTGATATGTAACAGGAAGGGAGAAAATGTATGGCAGGACTGGGAATCGAACCCGAGACACCTGCATCTCCAGACAGGTGCTCCACCAACTGAGCTATCCATGCCAATATCCATGACCCAAACCATTACATTCCTCCCTCTTTAAATGGTCTTTGCCCTCGAAGATATAACCGAAGTTCTTATGACCCCCTGGCAGGACTTTCACCTGCAATTCCAGGGGTGGTCAACGGCACCAAATCTGTAACAGGAAGGGAGAAAATGTATGGCTGGACTGGGAGTCAAACCTGGGACCCCTGCATCCCCAGTCAGGTGCTCTACCAACTGAGCTATCCAAGGCAATATCCAAAACCCAAACCATTACATGATATAAAAGCCGTAGCATCAATTATTAAAAAGTTATGGCCAAATATTGAAATTTTTCAAACTAGGTCAAACTCCAAAACCAAGTCTAAAGGTAAAAGAATTTGATATTGAAAGAAAGGTTTGGTCACATGGAATACACATGCAACAGATAGAGGCCCTAACTCCAATTTTGCAAAACTTGTGGCAGAAGTTTAAGCAGGTCAAACTCAGAGGTCAATGTCAAAAGTTCATCCTGTAAATCGTTTTAATTCCATGGTGTTAAAATTTCACAATTTCTAAATAAGTACCAATATTGCAATAGTTTTAATTTCACGCTGCAAGAAATTAATTCAATGTTCTTATAAGCATTAAAACGTTTTATAAAACTAATGTTAGCATTCACGATGGGTTTAATTTCACGAAAACTGATAAATCACAAACAAAGTGAAATTAAAACCATTGCGATTATTTGCCAATCTACAGTATATATTGGTACTTGAAGAAAGGTCTTGATGCAAGGAATAAATGTGAAAGGTCTAGCATGAACTGTTCAAAAGTTGTGAGTTTTTTTTTGGGGGGGGGGGGGGGGGGAGAGGGCAGACAAACAGATTAACAGACAAACATATGGACAAACTCATATACTCCCAAATCTTTGATTACTGAGGCATAAAAACATTGTGGAATAAATAAATGAGGATTGAAACAGACAAACTTCCAAGCTTATAAATACATGTAAAAATATTGATACATGTCCCTATATGTCAGTAATCAACTCATTTCAATTTAATTATATTTGATTTTATTTAATTAAATACTACCTGCAGATTATAGCTGGAGAAAGACTTGGTGACCATTTTGTCCTAGATGACCCTGCTGGCAATAGTTACTTACAGGTAGGCTATTTAAAAGTTGTAGTTAATTACAAGTTATACGTATGTTACATGTGATTACAGGTATCTGTATACTGTAAACTACAGGTTTGTTTATGTTAAAATTTTCCAGATATGATTACATTATGAAAATGTCAGAAAATTAAATTTTAAGTTGTATTTCTTAATCAAATTTTATTTTTATTATGTAAATAACAAAATATCAAAATAAAACCAAAGACTGTCCCCAATTTCACCTCAAGTCCTCTCCTTGTTGAAGAAAAGTTTGATTGTAGAATTAAGTTATTTTCATGAAGGAAAGACTTGCTAAGCAAAATAAAAAAAAAATTGTAGAAGTCTAAAAAAAAGAAAAGTAGTTTCTTTCAAATATTTTCTGTTTGAATTATTTCATTGAGGTTACATATCAGTTACTTATCAGTTGCATAGATTTACTTCCATTGTTGTTGAGAACTGAAGTTTTGCATCAAAAGCATTCTCATTACCGAAGGGGTAATAAAAATATTAAAAAAGAAAAAAATATTGAATATGAACTCCTGAAATTTAAAGCATAGGAATTTGAGATTCTCTCAACAATTTTTACTCATCATATTTTATAAATTGAGCAAAAATTTAGTGTATCTGTATAATTTTCTTTAAAGAGGCTGGGGGTGGCAGCCATTTTCAGACTATTTAAATCTCCTTTTAAAAAAGAGCTCCATATAAAGATATACAAAACTGATCAAATTTTAAAACTAAAATGTATGAATTTTTTCTTTGCCAAATGATAGTTGACAGCTTAAGATACAGTATCTAAAAAAAATAAGTTAATTCTGGTGGTTAATTTGTTGGCCCTCCAGCCTCCTTAAAGTTTGAAAAATTGGCACCATCCTATATACCGGTAATCCTATAGTAAATGTACCTGTATTTTGAGACGATCCCTTAAAATTACCTAGATGGTAGACTTTCCCTAAACTTTGCATGTACGCTGAAGTCAATGTAAGTTACATATGGTATAAAATTAAAGAGTGTCTCTATTGTAGTTTTCATGCAATAAAACCCCAGTCAGCTCCCTTAAGTAATGTTCTTGAGAATAAAATATAATTTATGTTGATTGGCAGTTACTCAGTTATTTAGGACTAGCAGAGTATATGAGACTAATCCGCAAAAATTTATTTCATTTTATTTTATTTCACATTGAGGATCATATCTCAACAAAAATATTTGCCAACATCTCCACTGAATTGTAAAAAATGTCACGTACTGCTTGATGAAATTTTAATTATGAAGTCTCTTATGATTTGACCTTATTTGTTATATATAGGAGGATGTTATGTATTGACAGAATGTCTGATGTTTTATCTTAACAGAATGTGTACGCCCCTGAACCAGATCCCGAGATGACAGTGGAACATTACGAGAGAAGTTACGAACAGAACGAGGATATGGGACTTAATGACCTAAAAACAGAAAATTACGAAACATCGTGACCTTTACTCACTTTTCTCCAGTGAGAGAACAAAACATCGGTGTCATTTAAACTATAAAATTATCTGAGCCTAACTGAGGGGGTGCTGGTAACTCATAAAAAGGAAGGCATGATTGGCAATGAAAACTGTGAGGAATATTCTAATTGTGTCGGTTATTTATCAGCATTTATCCTCATTCTAATATAAATGATTGACAAAACACGGTTGTTTGATATTATTCAATAATGTACATATTGGTGTGAAAACAGCCTTGTATTTTATTGTAGTCAGTATATACATAAAGGTTGTAGATCTCACTATTACTGGAATTGCCGTTCTCAATACCTTGTGATCAGCTATAAAATAATAATGCTACAATTTGAGGACAATACATTTTATTATATCAATGCGTGGTTTTGTCTTCTCTTATTCCAATACTTGAACCTATTACAAATGTTACCTGTGGTATATAGAATACAATGGTATGAGGTAAATATATAGTCATATAATATTTCAGACAAAGAATAGGAAATGATTAAAGAATTCAAAAATAGTGAAAAGACTGAATTCACCAAAAGCAACTTGACATTTGTTTAATTTTATGAGCACATTGTTTTGTGGTTTCTTACTTGTAGGCATACTGCCTTTCACTGCTGTTATATAACATGAAATTTCTGGCAGAGCTCTTTGATGTCACAATTAAAGTCAATATAGACAAACCAGTGATATTGACATCACAGTTTCAGAGATGATTTTCAATATTGCTTATTAGACATGTTCTTGTTTTTGTAAAACATTTTCAGATTTTAGCCAATCAAACTATTATATAAAAAAAGAAATGTGAGAAATGTTTTTTTTTTTTGTAAAACATTTTGCTATTTTATCCAATCAAACTACATGCTTTATATAAAAGGTTTTTATAATGTAATATTGGAAAGAAAATTATTTTTAATCCCTCAGCTTGGAAAGTAAATAAACGGTAGATACACCTTTTGTGTTCATTTCAATTACAGTTATCTGTCTTACATACCATAGTTTTACAAATCAAGAGAACTGCTTCTAGCTAGCGATGGGCTTTTTTTAAGACAACAATGCTATTGACATTCTTGACAAAATCAGAATTACATAATTCCCAGAAGCTCATTCCTGACAAAAAGGTGTTAAGTCATGTTTAGGAGCTGTACTAAATCATAAATAGAAAACTCAGCATCGATTGGCTGCTCAGAGGTAAATGATGCTTAATTAACCAAAAAAAAAGGTTTTCGTAATTAGCAACTTAAATACGTTTTGTGTGAATGGATATCGAGATACTCTATACTGTAATGTGATGTCTCTAAGGTTTATGTTTTGTATTTGTATTTCCTGAAATGATTTTAAATATGATTTTTAGCTCACCTGAGCTGAAAGTACTAGTATCACCTAATCTAGAGAATTTGTTTAAATAAGATGGCTTACCTAAAATCTGTAAAATACATGTAGCTGTAGGTGTGACGTTTTTGGACTTGCAATGAGGCCAACTTCCTTGATTGTCTTTCATGCATTGCATTAAGCACAGTGGCCCTTAGTTTTGACCTTCTGGTTGAAATATTGTCCCTCAATTTTATTCAAAAGTTACAACAAAGTCTCTTATTTTGTGCAATGTATAAATCTAAATTTTTAAATCCATTGCTGTTAACATCCATTGTCATGCAGTGATAAGAATCATGGATGAAGATTTCAACATTTAGCTTTTCCTCTTAAACCAAAAAAACAATTTTAACCTATTTTGTCTGTGGTGGAGGGGGGATAACTACTTGAAGGGGAATAACTATTTGAAGGGGGATAACTAACTACCTTGAGGGGGATAACTTCTTGGAGGGAGATAATAACTTGGGTAGGAGATAACTACTTGGAGGGATTGAGATAACTACTTGGAGGGGGATAACTACTTGAAGGGGGATAACTATTTGAAGGGGGGTAACTACATGGAGGGAGATAACTACTTTGAGGAGGATAACTTCTTGGAGGGGGAATAACTACTTGGAGGGAGATAACTACTTGGAGGGAGATAACTATTTGGAGGGAGATAACTACTTTGAAGGAAGATAACTATTTGGAGGGCGATAACTATTTGGGGGGAGATAACTACTTGGGAGGGGGATAACTAGTTGGAGGGAGAAAACGACTTGAAAGGAGATAACCACTTGAAGGGAGATAACTATTTGGAGGGAGATAACTACTTTGAAGGAAGATAACTATTTGGAAGGGGGATAACGACTTGGAGGGAGATAACTATTTGGGAGGGGGATAACTTCTTGAAGGGAGATAACTACTTGGGAGCCTACTTGGAGGGATAACTACTTGGAGGGAGATAACTACTTGGAGGGAGATAACTACTTGGGAGGGGGATAACCACTTGGAGGGAGATAACTACTTGGGAGGGGGATAACTTCTTGAAGGGGGATACCTATTTGGAGGGAGATAACTACTTGAAGGGGGGTAACTATTTGAAGGGGGCTAACTACTTGCGAGGGGAAGAACTTCTTGGAGGGAGATAACTACTTGAAGGGGAATAACTATTTGAAGGGGGCTAACTACTTGCGAGGGAGATAACTATTTGGAGGGAGATAACTACTTGGAGGGAGATAACTAATTGGGAGGGGGATAACTTCTTGAAGGGAGATAACTACTTGGAGGGAGAAAACTACTTGAAGGGAGATAACCACTTGTAGGGAGATAACTATTTGGAGGGAGATAACTAATTTGAAGGGAGATAACTACTTGGAAGGGGGATACCTACTTGGAGGGAGATAACTATTTGGGAGGGGGATACCTTCTTGAAGGGAAATAACTACTTGAAAGGAGATAACCACTTGAAGGGAGATAACTATTTGGAGGGAGATAACTACTTTGAAGGAAGATAACTATTTGGAAGGGGGATAACGACTTGGAGGGAGATAACTATTTGGGAGGGGGATAACTTCTTGGAGGGAGATAACTACTGTGAGGGAGATAACTATTTGGAGGGAGATAACTACTTTGGAGGGAGATAACTACTTGGAAGGGGGATACCTACTTGGAGGGAGATAACTATTTGGGAGGGGGATACCTTCTTGAAGGGAAATAACTACTTGAAAGGAGATAACCACTTGAAGGGAGATAACTATTTGGAGGGAGATAACTACTTTGAAGGAAGATAACTATTTGGAAGGGGGATAACGACTTGGAGGGAGATAACTATTTGGGAGGGGGATAACTTCTTGGAGGGAGATAACTACTGTGAGGGAGATAACTACTTGGAGGGAGATAACTACTTGGAGGGAAATAACTACTTGGGAGGGGGATAACCACTTGGAGGGAGATAATAACTTGGGAGGGGATAACTTCTTGAAGGGGAATAACTATTTGAAGGGGGATAACTACTTACAAGGGGAATACTTCTTGGAGGGAGATAACTACTTGGAGGGAGATAACTACTTGAAGGGGAATAACTATTTGAAGGGGGTTAACTACTTGTGAGGGAGATAACTATTTGGAGGGAGATAACTACTTGGAGGGGGATAACTTCTTGAGAGATAACTACTTGGAGGGAGATAACTACTTGGAGGGGGATACCTACTTGGAGGGCGATAACTACTTGGAGGGAGATAACTAATTGCTAGGGGATAACTACTTGGGAGGGAGATAACTACTTGGAGTGAGAAAACTACTTGAAGGGAGATAACTACTTGGAGGAAGATAACTATTTGGAGGGAGATAACTACTTTGAAGGGATATAACTACTTGGAAGGGGGATACCTACTTGGAGGGAGATAACTGTTTTGGGGGAGATAAATATTTGGGAGGGGGATAACTTCTTGGAGGGAGATAACTATTTGGGAGGGAGAAAATTTCTTGGGGGGAGATAACTACTTTGAAGGGAGATAACTACTTGGAAGGGGGATAACGACTTGGAGGGAGATAACTATTTGGGAGGGGGATAACTTCTTGGAGGGAGATAACTACTTGGAGGGAGATAACTATTTGGAGGGGGAAAACTTCTTGGAGGGAGATAACGACTTGGAGGGGAGATACGTATTTGGAGAGAGATAACTACTTTGAGGGAGATAACTACTTGGGATGGAGATAACTACTTGGAGGGAGGGAGATAGCTACTTGGAGGGAGATAACTACTTGAAGGGGAATACCTATTTGAAGGGGTCTAACTACTTGCGAGATAACTACTTGGAGGGAGATAACTACTTGAAGGGGGATATCTATTTGAAGGGGGGTAACTATTTGGAGGGAGATAACTACTTGGAGGGGGATAACTTCTTGGGAGATAACTACTTGGAGGGAGATAACTACTTGGGAGGGAGATAACTACTTGGAGGGGGATAACTACTTGGAGGGAGATAACTACTTGGAGGGAGATAACTAATTGGGAGGGGGATAATTACTTGGGAGGGAGATAACTACTTGGAGGGAGAAAACTACTTGATGGGAGATAACCACTTGGAGGGAGATAACTATTTGGAGGGAGATAACTACTTTGAAGGGAGATAACTACTTGGAAGGGGGATACCTACTTGGAGGGAGATAACTATTTGGGAGGGGGATAACTTCGTGAAGGGAGATAACTACTTGGAGAGAGAAAACTATTTGGAGGGAGATAACTACTTGGGAGCCTACTTGGAGGGAGATAACTACTTGGAGGGAGATAACTACTTGGGAGGGGGAAAACTACTTGGGAGGGGGATAACTTCTTGGAGGGGGATACCTATTTGGAGGGAGATTACTACTTGAAGGGGAATAACTATTTGAAGGGAGATAACTACTTGAAGGGGGATAACTATTTGAAGGGAGGTAACTATTTGGAGAAAGATAACTACTTGGAGGGGGATAACTTCTTGGGAGATAACTACTTGGATGGAGGTAACTACTTGGGAGGGAGATAACTATTTGGAGGGACATAACTACTTGGGAGGGGGATAACTATTTGGAGGGAGATAACTACTTGGAGGGAGATAACTACTTGGGAGGGGGATAACTACTTGGGAGGGAGATAGCAACTATCAAAATTAAAAATAACAAAATTATCGTCTCGGGTTCAAGTCAAAATAAGTTGTGAATTCGTTCATAATTTACCAATATGATAACCAATTAATTGTATCAACACACGGACGACCCATATAGTGTCATCTATGTAAACACCCAATTAACACCTCCATGCCAGCCCCAGGCGTTCACTGTTTTCCAGGTAAGTCCAGGCTGCATCAATTTTATGCTTGATTGGCGTGTATACACGCACAATCAGAGCTTCGAGAGATAAAGAGTAAACTTCAGTGAAATATGTGTAACTGGGCCCATGTTTTGGTTCGAGAGATAGAGAACTTCGAGAGATAGAAGTTCGAGAGATCAGGAGTAAATTTGCTTAGTTATATAGAGGGAAAAATCGGGACCGGAGGTTTACTTCGAGAGATCGAGAACTTTGAGACATTGGAGTTCAAGCCATCGAGAGTCACCTGTATTTGGAAGGAGATAACTATTTGGAGGGAGATAACTACTTGGAGGAGATAACTTCTTGGAGGGAGAAAACTACTTGGAGGAGGATAACTAGTTGGAGGGGGATAACTACTTGGGAGGGAGATAACTACTTGGAATGGGATAACTACTTGGAGGGGGGATACCTATTTGGAGGGGGATAACTTCTTGGAGGGAGATAATTACTTGGGAGGGAGATAACTACTTGGGAGGGAGAAAACTACTTGGAGGAGGATAACTACTTGGAGGGGGATAACTACTTGGGAGGGAGATAACTACTTGGAGGGGGGATACCTATTTGGAGAGAGATAACTACTTAGGAGGGAGATAACTACTTGGAGGGAGGAAACTACTTGAAGGGAGATCACCACTTGGAGGGAGATAACTA